TAAAAATGAAAAGTGCTTTTTTTCACACAAAAAACAACTTCTAGAGAAAAAAAAACCTATCCAAACGGCCTAATATTTAATGTGAATGGCTAGGATCGACGTTTTTCCTTTTTATGAGTATACTTGGCTTGGGCTAAAGGATTTACTTTGGGCTCTTGTTGCATAGCCTTACTATTGGGGTGTGCCTCAATTTTTGCCCCATGAGTCCCAGGACTTGGTTTAAGTAAACAGTTTTTTTTTTTTTAATATATTAAAAAATTAAACACACAACCTATTACATAATTATTCACGTTTCTCACCAGCTAACTCTATTGGCTTAAGTAAACGATCTTTAACAAATAAAAGTTAGACGTGTTTATCTCCTCAATAAATAAATAAAATCAAAATTAATATTATATTTAAAAATGTTTAAACAAAAGAGAAAAAAGTAAAATGAAAAGAGCGCAAAAAAGAGTTTTTTAAAGTTTTTCCAACTATTTTGTATTTTTCCCCCTAAATTATTTAGGATTGAATATTAAATTCTTATATTTTATTATTCTCTTTGAAAGCGTAAAAATTGGTCATTGGAAGTTAAAGTCTAAAACTCAAAGGGCTGATTTGGTCAACATGGTAAATAAAATATAATAGGATTATGCGATCTATTAACCTCATGCTGCATGAGATAATTATCTGATGCAACATGAAATAATTATTTCTCTAGGATTATTATCCCTCATTTGATAAATCCTTGGATTAATGTTGGACAAAATTGAATATGAAATATCATATACTCTCATTTTGAATGTGACCTTATATTCTTTTTTTCTTTTTCTTTTTTCTGTATAGAACGAATTCAACTCAAATGATTAAGTTGTTGGTTTAAGTTACATTTTTAATTTTTATATTTATCTATTACGATCTCTCACACAAGAGCTCACTGGACTCAGAGGGTGGACAATGCACAAACCCAGGGATGGCAAAAATGAGCCAACCCATCGAGTTGGCTCGTAGCATCATAAAATGAGCGGGGTTGGATTGGTAAATGAGCTGACAACCCGAGTTAGCTTTAAAAAAATCGAGCCAATCAGCGGGTCAAACGAGTCAGCTCGCGAGTTATCCTTTTTTTTATTTATTAAAAAATATAAAAGAATAATAAGGAGGCAAATCTATTCAAAGAAAGTATAAACTTTTTATTTATGTAAGTTTACGTTTAGCAATTTTAATTATCTTATATCATATTCAATTTTTTAAAATTTAATATATTTTTTATCTTACTTCAATTATCATGTTTTTTTAATCTTTTTTAGGCTACTTTTTTCACATTTTTTCGAACTAACCATTGAGCCAAAATACTGAATTAATTAAATTGGGGAGTGAGGATCGAACTCGTGTTCACTTGGTCACGAAGGCTCTGATGTCATATAAAGAACAAATTCAACCCAAAAGTTACATTAAAATTTTTTATATTTCTCTAACACTTTCTTTAAAAATTTGCTTTGCTGAGAATGTAAGAGTCTATCCTTGCCATCAATCAGTCCTACTGCTCCCCTCGGCCACCCCACCATCATTATAACTAATATTGACAATCAATTCAAATTTTATTTTTTTAAAAAAATTTAGTGAAGATTTTTTTTTTTAGAAATTTTAGTAAATTATTTTACGTATTATAATATATTTTTTAGATTATGAATTTCAGAATTTTTTTAGTAATTCAAAACAAGAATTAATGTTTAAGCAGCTAAAAATTAATTTTTAAAAAATTATGTGAAATTCTTTTATAGATGATATTTTTTTATCTATATTAGATTCTCACATTATCTAGTTCACCTCAATCACTTAGTATCGATAATATTATTCAATCATGTTTCTTATCTATTGCACATCAAACTCATAATATAATATGAATTTATGAAACTTATATTTTTTTCTATTGTTATTCAGCTTTTTGGATGCAACTTTATAAAAAAGTTAACATAATGCATTTTTTTAAGTCGGGATTCTTTATTTTTGAGAAATGCAGAAACTAAAAATCAAATATTTTTTTAATAAATTAATTTTTCCCAACCGCACTCCTAAGGCCTGATAAACAAGACTCCAACCCAAAGGAGTGGGTCGAGTTTTACAATCCGTCAACTCTCCTAATCTATTTTTTTGATTTGTTCTTTTCTTTTTTAATGTAAGTCGAGATCGCTGGACCGGCCAACCCTCCCTAGCCGCCAAATGGGGCAGGCCAAACTTTTTAACTCTCTTTCAAAAGTGGGACAAGACATATTGCTAACTTTGCCACCACTACAATTACTCTCACTTGACCACAACCTTTACAACCACAAATCCATTTTAGGAATTTTATATATAAAAAATTCTTATAATTTTTAACATTCAAATAATTTTTTTTTACTTAAAAGTATTTTTTTGTCAAATGAAGGGTGATACTCATACACCCAACAAAGGAAAATAAAAAAGCCGGAAATATAAAGAAACAAGAAACACATCGTATTTCCAAAAAGAAAAACATCGAGTCTCAACAAGGCTGGGAAGGGAATTTAAAAGAATTTTTTATGTACTCCATTCAAGCGTAAAATAAATTTAACTTTAAAAAAATATACTTCTAAAAAAATAAAAATAAAATTCTTTTTAGAGCTCATTCAAACATGATAAAAAGTCCTAAACAAATAATTCTTCAGCAATTAATGACCCATTTGGATGGCTTTTTTGCCCTACAAAAGCAATTTTTTTTAATATTATTTTTAAAGTCCGTCTTACTACATATGATTGTTTGGATATTAATTTTTTTAACAAATAAAAGTCTCAAAAAAGAATTTTTTTTTTTCCCAAACTAAAATTTCTAACTACTAAAAAAATAGAAACTAAAAGTCAATTTTATTTTTAAATTCAAATTTGTTACAACCTTGACTCTGCCGCCACCATCACCACCTCTATCCCCCCTCGCCATCCAAACGGGTATAAAAGAAGTTTTGTATTATAAAAAGTAAAAACCCACAAACACACGAAGGAAGCCAAATGAATAGGTTGTTAAAAAAAGTCCAAAGCAAAAGTTGCTTTATGAAAAACTAAAGATTTTAAACTAAAAAAAAAAAAAGAAAAAAAGGAAAAATTGTTTCTCTTGCAACTGAAGATAAAATTATCTCTTTCAGATCCAAAATGACGTTATTTTAGATTAAGGAAAAAAAATGCAGGGTTATATGTTGTAAAAGAAATGTTAATAAAAAAATATCATTCACAAACTAACAAATATATATGTTTTGTATTGTTTGAATTCAAACTGGTTATGTACTATGTAAAATTTAAAATTAATTTATTCATCCATGGAAATATGTTTTGTATTGTGTAACCTTGATATATTTGGTAAATTTTAATTCATGTTTTTTAATTTAAAGTTTAAATTTGACTCAAACAAAAATTAACTAATTTAAAGTTTAAATTTAACTCAAACAAAAATTAACTAATTTATGATATCAAAAAAAAAAAGTAAAGTTTAAATTTGGCTCACTATAAATTATTTTCCGCATTATGACAAGGAAAAAAAAATCATTTTCAGTAAATTTTAAATAATTGAAAACAACTGAAACCATATTATTTTGGAAAGACCGATTATTAAATCCTAATTCAAAACCAATTCTTATTCAATTTTTTAAATCTAGGTTTAATTTAAGATATAATTAAATAAATCATATTTTTTTTAAAAAGAAATGTAACAAATGATTGACAAGGTTTTAAAATCATCCTCTTAAGGAAAAGTAAACAAACACCATCGTATGAATATTTATAGCAAAAAAAGTATTCAAACAAAATACATCCCACAACAAAACAGAAGCAGTAAATTAATAATAACATGAGTCTTATTGTAAAATTTAAAAATAAAATAAAAAGAGAAATTTGAGTCCAATTAAAGGATTTTATCCGTAAAAAGAGGGAACTAGAAGTGAAAGTTGCAGCTCCAATCCAACCCAAATAATATAGGGGAGGGGAGTACCCTACAATGGTTGGAAGGTTTTTGCTAGATGGGGCCAGAGTTAGCTTACTGGGGTCAAAGTCAAACACACTTTGTTTTGGTAGGAGGATGCTTGACATTGAACCCACGTACGTGGAGGCTCCCTTGGGTATGGCATCAACATGGGGGATTTTAGCATGTCTTTCTGTGCACCTTGGTCATGCAAAATTCCGAGTTTTGTAAATTTGGAATCAATCAATTTGTATGAGGATCAAGCATATCAATGACATAATATGTAAATCATGCAAACGTCTATATGATGACATGACCATAAAGCAAGACCAATACCCTCTTTCTGTCTATTATGTTAGGTGGAAAAGATTTTCTTAATTTTTAATTTTTTTGGAAAAAAGACACAAAAAGAGAACCTCTCGAGGTTTGTGCATCAGCGTGGCTATGCACCACCAGTTTAAAAGTTAAAAAAGAAAAGAAAAGCAGCAAACTCTGTTGTGTTATGTGTATAAGTATAAGCCAGCAGCAATTGCAGAGGTATTACAACTGTACATCCTCAATAGTCGTCTATAATAGCTCAGGAGATTATTCTGCATTTGGACTAGTTTGTGTTAAATAGATATCTCTTTCTGATTTCCTGATATTCCTTAAAACAGTTTTAACATTTATATTTGGCTAAAATCTCTTATCCTAACTGAATCATTATCAAGATTAGATTTCCATCATTTAAGGCATTTTGTTCAGAGTGTGGGACTCTTTTTTCCACTTATTATTAAGAGCCTTGTTGCAATATAACTTTCCTCTTCATATCTATACGTGTATCGCACTCCCCCAGTCCACCCCCAGTAATAGGAAGAAGCCCTTTTAGAAAAAACAGGGCAAAGAGATAAACTTGTTTACTCTTGTTACTCTCTTTCGCGTTCTCTCTATCTCTCTCACTCCCCCTCTTCTTTTTATAAATATATAATTCACATTTCACATTCTCTTTTGATTAAAGAGGACTGCGCTTGTGACCTTTAAAGCAATATTATTGAGACCTTTGTGAAGTGAAAGCATAATGGGGTCTGCAAAGCATTCAATTTTCCTCTTATTATCATTCATCCTTTTTTCTCTGTTCCAAGCACCTGTTTTTGCAATTAAAAAGGTAAGCTTTATGTCACTATTATCTCTTTCCTACATGAACAGATTGGTAACTTCCATTTTTGTGCGAAACCCACTCGCTATTGTGTTCTTTCAAGTTTTCATCTTTTTGCTTTTCATTTTTAAACTGACAATTGGGTCAATTTCTTCCTCTCTTTTTCTCTGTTACAAAAAAAAAAAAAAAAAAAAAAAAAAGTCTTACATAGTATACTTGGGATCACACGAGCACGGTGCAGAAGTTACAGATTCTGATTTTGAAAGAGTTACTGAATCTCATTATGAATTCCTTCAATCCTATTTGGGAAGGTACACAGTGTTTGAATGTAGCCGAGAAACCTGACTTGCATTCCCTTTTTGTTGGTTCGAACTGATTTCTCTGAATTAACGTTGACATGCATGCAGTTCTGAGAAATCTAAAGAGGCAATAATATATTCTTACACAAGGCACATTAATGGCTTTGCTGCCATCCTCGAAGAGGAAGAGGCTGCTGATATTGCAAGTAAGAACACAGAAACAAAAAATAATAACATTGTTTTCAACGTGATGAATAAAGTTCCAACCTTACCATTGTGCGTTTGATGCAGATCATCCAAACGTTGTGTCAGTATTCTTAAACCGAGGAAGAAAATTACACACTACTCATTCGTGGGAATTTATGTCACTGGAACATAATGGTGTAACTCGCTCTGAATCCCTGTTTAGAAAAGCCAGATTCGGTGAAGATGCTATTATTGGCAATCTTGACACTGGTATCTGCTTCTTGTTTCTTCCATCGCAAATATTTAGTTTATAAATTATTATTATTATTATTTTCTTATTAGATCATGTAGGGGATTTGGGCTAGAATCAATTATGGTATCACACAAACACAAGCAGGAATTCTTGACGTATCATAATTTGAAAGGTCCCGTCTCATATCTTTTCGGTCTTTCTTGCTGACTAGTAAAAGTACCGTATCTTTCTCTCTTTGTGTCACTGCCACCTGCTTTCTCTCTCTCTTTTTTCTTTTTATTAATAAAGAAAAAAAAATAGAGACAAAAAATGTGTAATCACTCTCCACTTGTGAAAAGCATCATATGTCTTGTTTTGCAGCCGTCTAAATCACCTTTGTGTGGACCCTTTTCATGTGTGACTATTCACGCGCGGGTGACCCAATATGTTTTTGCATATCCCATTTTAAATAGCAATATGGGTAATCTTATATTCTAACTTTCTAAGAAACTATGTGTTTCAATCATTCATACGTTGTTATTTCTCTTTACATATTATTGCTGGGTATATGATGTTTACACAAATAAAGTAAATAATAAATTCATCACAAGTCACAACTACTCAACTTTCCTTCACTTTTTTTTAAACGATCCATATCCCTCCTATGTGCAAGAAACATTTCTGATATTGTTTTCGTTAAAGTTTGATTAAAATTTATGTGTTGTAGGTGTATGGCCGGAATCTCCGAGCTTTAGAGATGAGGGGATAGGCCCCATTCCTTCAAGGTGGAAAGGAACATGTCAGAGTGATACCACTGGCTTCCGTTGCAACAGGTGATTATGTTCCTTTTTTCAATTTTCTAGCTGTTTTCCACCGCATTTCCCCTATTTATATACAGTTTATATCCAAGATCATTAAAAGTTTAGCTGTATTTAAATTTCTCTGCAAAAATATACTATCAGTGATCAGTTCGTTGATCATGAGTAGCATGCATGCTTTGTTTGAGTTGTTGTATGGTATCTTCACAAGCATCAATTAAATCACAAGAAAGTCAAACCACATCCATTTTCGTTAGTATATGTTAAATATTGCTAATTATACCACTTGTACACGTGGTTATGTCCCCAAAATCAATGCAAAATAACAGTCCAACTAAAAGTTTATATCATCCATCTCATGCAAAAAAAATAAAAAATTAACACTCCTTTTTCATTTTGCAATTTCTGTCTTTTTGGTATTGTTAGGTGCAAACTAATATTTTGAATTTCTAATACATTCCACCTCTTATGCTTGAATTGAACGTCCTTCATAGTACAGTCCATCACTCTTTCTGCTATCTTTAAAACATTGACGCAATGAAAAGTTTGGAATGTCTAACTGTTATACATTTTGATAAATATTCATGCAGGAAGCTCATAGGAGCGAGGTACTTCAGCAAAGGCTATTCTGCCTATGCGGGGCCAGATGCAATCAATAACAATGTGCTTAACACAGCACGAGATTATGAAGGTCATGGATCTCACACGCTATCAACAATGGGAGGAAACTTTGTTCCTGGGGCAAATGTCTTTGGCTTGGGTAATGGAACTGCCAAAGGTGGTTCTCCTAAATCCCGGGTTGCTACTTACAAGGTTTGCTGGCAACCAATTGATGGCAATGAGTGCTTTGATGCTGATATCATGGCAGCCTTTGATATGGCCATACATGATGGTGTTGATGTTCTTTCCCTCTCTCTTGGAGGGAATGCTGCTGATTATTTTGATGATGGTCTTTCAATTGGTGCATTTCATGCTGTTAAGAAGGGCATCCCTGTAATCTGCTCAGCTGGGAATTCTGGACCAACACCGGGAACTGTTTCAAATATTGCACCTTGGATATTAACAGTTGGTGCAAGCACCTTGGACAGAGAGTTTGATACTAGTGTTGAACTCCAGAATGGAAAGCTCTTTAAGGTAATATTTCTAATTTCCATCTATCCAATTTTAATGTCCATTTTTTTCCTCCCATGATAAAGATAATTAGTTCTACTTTTCTTTTTCTTTTTCTTTTTCCACTTTCATTTTGCTCTCTAATATTTCATCCTTGATTATCAGGGAGCAAGCCTTTCTAAAGCTTTGCCGGAAGACAAGTATTATCCACTCATTAGTGCTGCACAGGCAAAAGCGGCTAATGCATCAGTTGGAAACGCGTAAGAACTGGTTATGTTTAAATATCCCATTTAAGACAAAAATGTTAAAAAAATTCAATGATTTATCATATTCAGTGATGATTTTGAAAGTGCAACATATATAGTAACATGCTTGTCCTTGTATAGTATTCTGTGTAAACAAGGAACAATTGACCCCCAGAAGGTGAAGGGCCAAATATTGGTTTGTCTTAGAGGTGAAACTGCAAGAGTGGAAAAGAGCCTTGTTGCTTTGGAGGCTGGCGCTGCTGGGATGATTCTTTGTAATGATAAGCTTAGTGGTGATGAGCTTATTGCTGATCCTCATCTCCTGCCAGCATCACAAATTAATTATGAAGACGGTCTTGCTCTCTTTGCCTACATCAATTCTACCAAGTAAGTAGTACTCTTGTTATTCCCACCCCTCTCTCTCTCATATATATATATATATATATATATATATATATATATATATATTACAGGTGAGTGCCCAGGTGAGGGCATATGTCCGCAAGTGCAGACATAAAATTTTGGATTTTAATTTTTTTTTTTGTAGCTATGTAGGTCTTTATTTGTCTCTTAGTTTAATATTTATATTAGGAGCAAATATCTTTTTAAGTACCTAACAAAAAATATGATCTCCACTTTAGTCCCTTACATAAAATTAGTCTTCGAGGAGGTCCCTAAGAAATTCAAAGTGGATCAGTTTAGTTAAAATCATGGTCACTCGCAAATTCAAAAAAAATTCTACATTAGTCCCTCAAAAAGACTAAAATGAGTCCACTTTAAATTTCATAGGGACCAAGTGACTATTTTTTTTATAATAGACTAAAGTGGGGACCGAATTTTTTGTCAAGGATGAAAAATGATATTTATTCTTATATTAGTTAGCAACGTAGCAACATACGCAGATAATTAAAACAACGTAGCAACACAAATTGATTAAAGAGAAAACTTATTCTTCCTCCTCTGTCACGTACACATTCTCATAATTTCTTCATCTTTTGTTATGGAAGCAACTAGATTATAAGCGGGTTCAAGAGTTAATTTAAACTTTTTTTACAAAAAAAATTTCGGGAACGCTGCCCCCGAACCTCCGCCACTAAATGTGCGCACATAAAATTTTTCCTGGGTCCGCCACTAATATATCTATATATATATATATATATATATGTGTGTATGCATTTTATAGATAATTACATAAGCTAGCATTGTTCCATCAGTAATGTCTTTAATAGCTATATCATATATATAACAGGAATCCGCTAGGATATATTCATCCACCACAAACCAAGTTGCAGATAAAGCCTGCTCCAGTCATGGCAGCTTTCTCCTCTAGAGGGCCCAACACAATCACACCCGAGATCCTCAAGGTTTGCTTATTCGTCCAGTATGGCTTTCAAGAATATTTGTTTTTTGTTTCATTGCATGCATGATATATAGTATTTTTCACATCCTATACCCTACATTGTAACATCTTCAGCCTGATGTCACCGCTCCCGGTGTGAATATTATTGCTGCCTACTCAGAAGGGATTAGCCCGACAGAAATGAACTTTGATACACGCAGGGTTCCCTTTATCACCATGTCTGGAACATCCATGTCATGCCCTCACGTGGCTGGAGTTGTTGGCCTTCTCAAGACACTCCACCCTGACTGGAGTCCATCAGCTATTAAATCTGCAATAATTACAACTGGTAAAGCTAGCTTTAGAATTCCATTTGATGCTAGCTTCTATTAACTATATATATATATATAAATGTTTCTTTGATGGCCCCACATCTGACAACAACAACAACTTTTGTGTTTCAGCTAGGATAAGGGACAACGATGCTAAGCCAATGCTTGATGGCAATAATGTACTTAAGGCAACACCATTTGCATATGGCTCTGGCCACATCAGACCAAATGGTGCTATGGATCCAGGATTGGTCTATGACCTAACCATCAATGATTACCTAAACTTTCTTTGTATCTCCGGTTATAACCAGACCATGATAAAATTGTTCCCTGGTACTCAATATCGTTGTCCTGATATAGTAAGCATCCTGGATTTCAACTACCCTACAGTAACAATACCTAAACTCTACGGCTCAGTTACTTTGAACCGCAACGTGAAAAATGTTGGTTCACCGGGTACTTATACTGCAAGCCTCCGTGTACCTGCGGGCCTTAACATGTCTGTGGAGCCTAATATCTTGAAATTTGACAAGATTGGTGAAGAGAAGAGCTTTAAGTTGACAGTTGAAGTTACAAGAGGTGGTCTGGCCACAGTATTTGGAGGGTTAACATGGTCAGATGGCAAACATCATGTGAGGAGTACAATTGTAGTTGGCGGCGTCAAAGGTTAGATAATCGGATGTTACATCAAGTGATATATTATATAGTAGATTAGGATGACATCTTTTTTATTCTTAGGTGATTGGGTAAAAGAAAATGAATTACTTGGAATTAATTGTTGATCTTATCATGTTATATTTATTAGTTATTCCCACTTCGTAGAACTGCAATGTGTTAATTGGAGAAATTATATACATGGCGGAAAGCATCGTCTCTAACTTTTTTTTGTAAGAATAATAAGTTTTATATCAAGATTTCAGCGCATTTGACTGTTATTATTTAATTAGAATTTTTAATTAATTAATGATCTAAATCAATTAATTAGTGACAAGATCAATTTATATTGGTATAAAAATAATAAATTTTACATTAAATCTTAACCGTTAATTTTCATATATCTAACAATTATAATCTTTTGAGAATTAATAATTAATTAATGATTATTAGATAATAAATTATAACCGTTAGTGGCACAAAAATTAATAATTAAAATTTAATGTAAAACTTATTACTTTTACACCTATATAAATTTAGGGAAATACACTTTTCCTATTGCTGGAGAAGTGTATTTCTTCTGTTGTCTCAACTCGAATTTCGTGTTTTTATTATTTATTTTTTTAATTTTCAAAATCTTGTGGGCTCTACAAAATTTTATTTGTGCTGGAAATTTTCAATCTCTCTCGTGACAGGAGAGATATTAAGCCCATAAATTTATCTGTCACTATACATAATTCTCCACTTCACAAAGTTCATAATACTGTGAAATGAGCCGGCATCCTGCTGAAATTTATGTCAACTTTTGGATGTGAATTTTGCAAGATATAAATAAATTGCTGTAGGGCTTGTATAGTAGATGAAGTGAAAAGGAAATAGCCTTTTATTTTCAAATGAAAATGACATAAAAAATTGCAGTTATTTTCAATTCTGAATCAACAAATGCGTTAGGGACATGAAAAAAATGTGGTTTGTTTTTTAGTCCTCTCTAACACCACTTTATAGGAACATGAAAACATTTTAAAGCATTTTATTACGGACAAACTGTTATTTTATTTTCAGAATGAAATTGAGCTTCTGTGGGAAATAGTAAATATGCTTAAAAAACCCCATGATACCCGCTATAAGTATATCTATTAAAAGAACGTTTCGGCGTTTCCAAATGAATCATTTGATAGTGATCGGTCCGAATGAGGTGTCTCTTTCTACGATGGATTCGGGAGAAGTGAATCCTCTCATGTGCTAATTAGTATGATTATGTCATGTGGGCAATCATAACCATACATGGGTGAGTTAATGGTGATAAAGAATGAGAGAAAAAAAATATAAGAATAGAAAGTTACACAATCATCACTGTTGATTTAAACATTCCATTTCCGATAGGCCCATTATAAGAAAAAACGACAAAAGTCACCAAACGGCCTACCTACCATAAGTCTGAGTATAAACAGAAACTAGCTCAAGTACTGCTGAAGACCGTGCTTGCCAAATAACAACCTCAATAATTCGTTACCAAAAATTGTCAAACGTTTAAAAGAGAGAGTTGAGTTGCGTTAATAGGAGGTACAACACATGATCCGTGATTAGGAGCGGAGAGTAGTAAAGGTTAAATGTAAACCAAAATTAGAGACGCAAAAGGAGGACCCAATCCCTATATATCTCAATCAAATTACTTTTTATTTGTACATGTCATAGACAGCCAACGGGGGAAGGGTGGATGGCATGCCAAAAAAAAAAGTGTGACAGTGTGATGAATTGTGAGACGGTTTAGCCTTAAAATGGCGTAGCGTGTGTGCAACGATCACCATTTCTAATCATTCTTCATAAGCATAAGTTACCACCAACAGACATATAGATATTAAGGTTCCCTCGCTCCCCCTTGGCCGCAAGTATTAAGGTTTCCAACTACCCCCCATTACTCTTTGGATCATCATGTTTTCATATAATCATTCTTATGATCTATTTCATTGTTGTTCGCTTTTATATTAAATTTTGCTCGCCCCACGTGTATAGTTGATTCAATCTGGGATGATGGGTCAATGAAAAATACGATCTTGCAATGCAGTCTGAGTTTTTGTGTTTGATTGTGTGTAAATAATTAATTACTGGATAGTGGATACCAATTAATTTAATTAAGTTGTTTGTAAATCTTGCATTGACAGAAAACGCTAACTGGGTATTTATAAATGGAGCTGGAGAAGAAGAAGAAGAAGAAGAGAGGAAGAGAAGGAGAGAATGAAACTGAGACTGAGATGGAGTGTTTAGAGAATAGCAACAAGGCAAAGAAGAGAGATATGTATGGCATGAAGGATGTGGAAGAGGAGGGTTGTTCCCACTTGGCATTTGGGGTGTTTGATTTCCCTTGGCTTAAAGATGGTGTCACGTTCAAATCAGAGGACTACTTGTTTGATTTTGAAGACTATTTCTCCTCATCTCTACAACAAGAAGACGCTAACTTTGAAGCTGCTGAGGCATCCAAGCATCATATTCCAGAAGCCAAGTTGGAAGATAATGCATGGGAGACATTTGAAAGTGATCTGTTGGAGCTGCAAGCTGAGGATTTGGATTGCATTTGGACCTCTCTGCTCAATCAGCCTCTTTAACGACAGCAGCAGTAACATTGGTGTAATTGTTTGATGAATGAATGATCTTAATAGTTCATCTCAGATGGAATTCACAAGATGGTAATTAAATTTGGGTTAGGTGTATAATATTTAAGTCTAGTTCCAGAATTTTTTCTTGATTTTCTTCTTTCTTTTCCATTATATCCTCTTCTTTCTGCATGGCTTTTCTGTGGGTAAGCCATCACCAATTTTGTCACACTTTTTCATTGATTGTCCCAAAGAAAATTTCATGGACTTATGTTGATGAATTAAAAGATATAGTAATAAAACAGAGGGACTTAAATTTATGCACCATTCAATATAAATCTGCATCTACGTACTATGTTGGACACGCATCCTTATGTGAAATTCCTTAGTCCATCCATCTCAATAAAATTGGCTATGTTGATGGTACTATGAAGAGCATAGTCCTGGAAAAAGAAAAACAATTATGTACGCAATAGTCCAAATTAGGCCCGGTCCAAGAATAGAACAAAACTGACAATGTAGTTTAAGCGAAATGGGTTTCTCGTGAACAGGATATAGATTAGGGAGAGTTATTCCATGCACCTTGTGAAGTTGGGCCACATGGATGTACCAGATGACTTGTGTGAAATATATATCAATGGCTAACAAATTCAACTTGCAACTTGTTGAACAGGTTAAGGAGGAAATATTATTTTCATTTAAGGGAGCGTTTGGTACACGGGATTTTGAGGGATTCTCGGGAAACTGAATTTTTTTAAATTTTAAATTTTCAGATATTATCCTAAACTGAATGCAAAAATTTCCGGACAAATAAAAATTTCTCCTGTACCAAACGCCCCCTAAGAGTAACTGAAATTGTAATTGTAATTGTTAGCCCCAAAAAAAAAACTAGTTTTTCTTCTCGTACTCATACCCATGAGCCTTTGTTCATGTTAAGATTCATTAGGTATATTCCTGTTTCACTCGGGGGATGTTTCAGCTTATATTCCCACTAATGTAATTTCTATTACAGATGGCCAAACTACGAGTGCAATGGAAAATGTAAAAAGTACCATTAAAGCAGCCCAAGCAAGACTTATTAGATCCATGTAAATTTTGTCTCCTATCTCTATCAATATGAAGCTATAGCATCATCATTAGCCGGAATCGAAATATCTGCGAGATCGGGGTCACAATTTGTATCGATTAAACAAATCGTTGGAATTCCCAAAGTGATACATTCATATAATGTGAGATACTCAACATGAACAAAGGCTCATGGGCTTTTTTACCCTTATAACTTTTTATTAATAATTAATTACCAAATTGACCTTCATTATAAACTATTTCAAAAATTTAACCCCCTCAAAAAACATAACACCAATCTGCCCCTGTTTGACCGTTGACCACCAAGCCTACCCGGGTACACCCCTCCCTACCCGAGTATTTTTTGAAATTTTTTGTTTACCCGGGTAGGGAAGGGTGTACCCGGGTATTTTTCTTGACACCTGCGAAATTGCTAGAATTATTTACCCGGGTACGGAGGGGTGTACCTGGGTAAATCTACATAAAGTGGTTGACTTTGGCATTATTGAAGGAGTGTTCCTGGTTTAGATTTTGAACATTGAAGGAGTGGATCTTTTCCTCCTGGGTAGATTGCTTCCTTTGTGAATCCTCTTCGTTCATAATTAACTCACTCAGATCTAGATAAAATTGTAAGATCACCATTTTTTATTTTTATTTCTTGGTGATAATTGTTTGACCATTGTTTGCCCATGACCTCAACTTTTTTGGACTGCCACTTATAACTTTAATATTTTATATTTGCATAACACGAATGTATCAGATAATGAAATACAATTACTTCATATACAAGATGCTGTAGCTACTCTCAAGCGAGTGCAAAATAGGATGTGACTTTCTAAGCTTATTTGTTCTATAGAAACAAAAGTCTCTGTCGAAAATATGACCGCAAAGAGTAACTTTCTTACAAATGTTCATGAAAGATTTGGAATTCTTATCTCACACTATGGATTCATGGAACGCTTATAGTAAGGCACACAGAAACAAAAGACACTCACTAAATAGGTAAACATAGAGTTCCAGGGGAACTAGCTTACATAGCATAAGACACACCACCTTTGGATGTTAGAATTTTTAATTAGTTAAATTCTTGTTCTGGTAAACATTCAAAGTGGTCTTTATTAAATGCCTTGGCTGTGACAGAAGAGAGGGAGCTTGGCTGAACAATTTGGCTTCATCTGATATTGAAAGATTTATAGCCAGAGCTCCCTGGTATGTTTGTCTGAATCCTTCCCCTCTCATCAGCAAGCCTGCAGTGAGTTTCCTTAGGGTGATGGCCTTTGCTGTGGCTGCTGCTGGCCTCATTGCTTGAATTATTTACAAAAGATTACACACTGAATGCCTCGACAATCGGCATAATAACGCCAAAGGGATATCCCAACCACTTTATGTAGATTTACCCGGGTACACCCCTCTGTACCCGGGTAAATAATTCAAGCAATTTCGCAGGTGTCAAGAAAAATACCCGGGTAGACAAAAATTTCAAAAAATACTCGGGTAGGGAGGGGTGTACCCGGGTAGGCTTGGTGGTCAACGGTCAAACAGGGGCAGAATGGTGTTATGTTTTTTGAGAGGGTTAAATTTTTGAAATAGTTTATAATGAAGGTCAATTTGGTAATTAATTATTAATAAAAGGTTATAAGGGTCAAAAAGCCAAGGCTCATGGGTATGAGTACGAGAAGAAAAACTAGTTTTTTTTTTGGGGCTAACAATTACAATTTCAGTTACTCTTTTATATATATATATATATATATATATATATATATATATATATTTTCCAATGACTAGTTTTCTCTTTCTTCTATCTCTCAGAGCTTGCTCTTGTGTGCTATTTATTTACCTTAATAGTTGCTTCAAGTAGGGAAGAATATGGTTGAGGATGGGAAGAAAGAGTGCACAAGTTAACTAATTCAAGTGGAGAAGAAAATAAATCGAAAGAAAAAAAGAATAATAATGGGAATTTTAATCCCAAGAGATGACAATGCTTATATCTCTATCATAGACCCACACTGCCATTCCAAGTAAAAGTAGAGAATCGTTTAACGAAAAAAAGAAGAGAGAAGAGAATCACCTATTAGAAGTTTGATGAAAATGCCATTTAATTTTGATAGATTGTGAGTGTAAAAGAATTTTATTGAGTCATATTGCGTTATCCCATCATTGAATGAGTTTAGTAATATATAAAGAGAAAGATTATATTTACAAACTTTTTATTCACAAACTCTTACAAATTACATTAAGTATGATCATACACTTTAATCAAGAGTGTATGACCGCTCATATTTAGTGTTTTTTATAAAAAAAAAGTTTGTAAACGGATTCTATATAAAATATCAAATTCATTAAATGATGTGATAAAATGTCATTGAATGTTGTTATAATTTTTTTTTAAATTGATAACCCATTTAAATTAAATTTAAAAAATATACGAATCAAAAGACATAACTGCAAAGAAATGTGAAGCTGATCTAAAGCTTGGTAAAAGGAATGGGCCTGCGCCTTCTGTTTAGCAATCAATTTTTTTTTTTTTTTTTATTGCTTTAACCAATGCGTGTCTCTTTTCTATTATTGCGTGGTTAACTAGAAGGTATTTTTATTTATGAAAAAATGTTAAATAGTATCAATAGTTTTTTCTAAAACAAAAAACTCTATTACATTTTGTTTATTATTCGTTTGTTTATCAACTATATATTTTTTCTCTTAACCACGTACAATTGGTTGTTTGATATTCATAAGAACTTTTATATAAAAATTCTGTATCAAATAACATTGCTGGTTAATTATTAGGCGTGACCAATCGATAACTTTGATTTTGGCTAAAGCAACAACTCCTAGGTCATGGACTCCCAATTTCAATATGATCTATTTGGATATGATTAAAATGTTTCATGATAATTTATTATTTTTTATTTTTAATCATTCTTAAATTTAAAAATATTTATTTGAATTAAAAAAATTATCCTCGTTTTTTTTCTTTAAAAATTATCCATCTTAAACATACTTTTTTTAAGACAAAACTCAAACGGTAAAATAAGATCGGATTGTTAGAACAAAAATATTTTTATTTTATTCATCTGATTGGGTCTATATTGGACGATATTTTCCAAGGATGTTGTTGTGTTTCCCTATTCTTAAACTGAAATGTATCACAAATATAAAAGGAAAAATCAAACATAAAAATAGTGAAAAAGGAGGTATTAAAGGGACTAAGGGAGCAGCGATTATTGGAAATGGAGACTTTGCATACGTGGTGTGTTATTGTTGCCCTCTTGACTGTGCCGACACTTTTCATTTGCATCTATCTGTAGAGCAACCAGCGATTTTACCCTCTTCATTCTGCTATATATTCATTCATATTTCCATTAACCCTATGTTGAGGGCCAACAAGACAAGCCCAAAATCTAAATGGAAAAGTAGATTCTATAATCACATGATTTTTTTTATTATCTTATTTATTGACCAAACACAATGAGAAATACTGAAAATAATTTTCTTCACCTTTTTTTTTTTTTATAAAAAAGACGCTTTATGTTGCTAAATAATTAGAAAAACATGTATCGCATCAATTTATAAATTTAAAACAAATTTGTAATGGCATATTATCATTAATAAAATAATATATAGTTATTATATATTAATATTAATAATTTATGATATAACTCAATACAAATACAAATAAAAATTAGAAAGTACTGTTTACCAAAAAATAAAAAATAGAAAGTACTGTTTTTGATTATTCACAATTCGTGTCAAGTGTGATTAAAAAAAAACATCGGTATTTGATTTGAAGTATCGTTGGGTATGCTTGTTGGTGACTAGTTGCTAGGTTTGGCCAATTCTTTTATTTGAATTTGAGGCTGATAATTGATAAAATCCGAACAGACAAAAGACGCCAACGACGCGTGTGTGGGAATAACCTTAATTGGCAACGGTCTTTGACACGTCGCAGCCGCGCCATCATTTATAGCAATAAGAAAAGGAATTTATTATCACACATTAATCTTTTTAATTTTGTTTTTTGTACTTTTGCGGGCTTTAAGCATGTGTTTTTTATTGGTTAACAAATAACAAAAAAAATTATTTAAATAAGCAGGTTATTCTTATATTCACGTAAAAATAATAAGAAATTTTATATCAAAATTTTATCATTAATTTATTTGTATATAACGATTCATGTATATAATAAATCAGAACCGTCATATTTAGCCAGAAATAAAATATAACTTATAACAATATAAAATGATTCTGATGTCATCATAACTATTAGACAAATTTAAATTTTAAATACTTATTAATCCATGTTATGATGCTTTCTCATAGAAATTGTTGTAAAGTTAATATTTCTTTATTTTCTCAACTTTATTGTGATTACAACAATGCATAACGGAAGATATTATAATAAATTTTGTACCATTTTAGAGGGATATGTCTATTTTTTTATACTTATTTTACCTATTTCTTTTTAGGGTTTAAAATTTCTAAAGCCATTTTAAATAATTTTATCTAATATTTATCAAAATACACTTATAAAATATGTGGAGCCCTTTTTTTATCTCTTTTATTTACATGGGTTCATATGGACCGCACACATTTTATTTATTTTTTGTATGTATTTTGGAACATTAGAAAATATTATCTAAAATAATTTTAGAAACTTTAAATCATTCTTTTTAATATTGTTACATCATAATTTCAATAGGAAAAAGAAAATATAAAAGTTAATTAAGATTATAATTTAATAATATTAGAAAATAATAATTAAGATTGTGACATAATAATATGGGTTTGTTTTTTCTAAAGTTACTTTAGATAACTTTATCTAATGTTCACCGAAACGACGTCGTTTTGGGGCGGAAATCATAGTGTATTTGTAATTTTAATTTATTTCAGGGTTATAATAGTCTTTATCATTCTAATTTTTTGATTTTTCAATCTCAAAACGATGTCGTTTTGGTAAACATTAGACAAAGTTGTCTAAAGTAATATTAGAAACTTTTCCCCTAATAATATTGTAGAAAAATGAATAAAATAATCATATAAAAATTTATTCGATAAACAATTTTATGTCTATCTTTTTTAGGAAGGTTATACTTACAACTTTTTTTTACCACCTCTTACAACCATATCTTAACACCGTTGATTTTCGTCAATCAATGATTATCATTTATTATGAATTAATAATTAATTAATAAATTTAATTTGCGAAAATCATAACCGTTGATTGACGAAAATTAACAGTGTTAAGATATAATTATAAGAGACTTTGGTAAAAAAATAAAAAAATAGGGATAATATGTGATCATGATTTTAAATTGTATTAATAATGTATATGACTAGATTTTTATTGCTGCCATGACCATGAGCCTCGTTAAGGAACGTAAATAGAGTCGCTGTTTGTAAATAATGACGTGATTTGGTGTCATCTTCATTCTTCATCTCTCTGTGTCTCCATCAATTACCCATTGCTTTTGCTGGATTTGTCTAGTAAGTAACAAACACTGAGTATCTATCTATCTATCTATCTTCAACTTGCTTGCTCCTCCTCTTCGTTAAGTTTGGTCATGCACTTTTCGAAACCCACAATAAGAATACATAAATAGCGGGTTTTGTTTTGGAGAAAGGGTCTTATCCTATTTCCTATTTGTTTTGCAGTTTGAGGCCACACTCTCATCTCAACGCATCTTTCTCTCTTTCCCATCCCAAAATGCGTTTTCCTTGCCAACTCAATCTTACTCATTCTGTTTTCCTTCTTCTTCCTCCTCCTTTTCTATATTTCTCAGATTTGTAACCTTCCCTTTGCAGCCGTGGCTCCTTGGCGAGACATTAACCATTGCAGTAGTGGTGGGTTATACAAATTACAACATTGTAACTCTGGGGTTTTGAGGATGGTGACCACCAGAAATGTTGTGCTGTTGTTGCTTTGTATTACTGTTGTTACTCCAATTGTGCTCTACACAGATCGTCTTGCCACCACCAAGTACCCCTCTGGTCAGTTTATTTTATTTTTCTTCATTTACTAACTCATTCTAAGATGCTTTGTTTTAATAACTGTTCCTGAATCTCCTACACTTTTGTCTTTTTATATGCATTTTGCAGCTGAGCAGGGGTTTATTGGAGATGTAACTGCTTTTGTAAGTAATGTATCCTTAAAAGTTAAAAAAAATGATTCTTTATTTGTGTAGAATGAGATCTCTGAATTTGTGTGTTTACTCTTGTTATGTTGTTTCAGGCTGTCAGTGCAGTCGACACTGGACGTTTAAATCTGCTACCCGAGGTAATGTTTCCATCTTTCATTTTCATTTTCCTTTTCCCCCATTGCACACGCCTATGAAGAAATTTTCCATTATGGCTGCATATACCGGTGTACTAAATCCTTGATGATTTCTTGTTTAAATTTCTCATTTTGAAATTAGGAAACTTCTACGGTCCTTAAGGAACCCATTGGGGTAGTATATACAGAGGACTTTACAAACACAAAGAATTTGCCTCAAGGTATTTTGTGTTTGGTCTTTTCTGTTGTTCAGTTAGATACCCCACCTTCTCTTCCTGGCTCTGGGGTCCCTTTTCTTGTATTTATCATTATTATCTATTGTAATTGTTTGGTTGACCTAGACTTGCACTCTGTCGAATCGAGGGAGCATGTATCTGCCAGGGTATTGTCAGCAACCGATGAGGAAGGGCGAACAAAAGGGGAGAACCCCATCAAACTAGTGACAGATGGAATTAAGCAGCGAAATCAAAGCAGCAACTTGGAGAAAGCTGATGCAAGCGGTGAAAATGTAAACGGGGAAGATGCTATTGATGTTGATGACAATGATGGGAAACTCGCGAAATCATCTTATGTTTCTGATCAAGTATCTGAAACTACGGTAAGTGATATATTTGCCTCTTGATTTTTCTGCCTGTTACTTTGTTCATTTTTGTTGCAAAAATTTCTTCATGTTTCTGGCCATGATAAAAGAATTGTACATGCCTGTGTTTATGAGTTGGTTGTCCATCTATCAAATATAATATTTAGTATACTTGTGTGATTTTGGTTCATGAATTGGTAACCCTTTAAGGAATTTAAGTTTAAGATCAGACCGCTTGCATTGATAGCTCTGACATACTTCATTCTTAATTGCAAACAAAAATTGTTTCATGTTTTAATGTCCTTTTCATCAAGTCAAGTTAATGACTTAACGCCATGGTAATCTAAATGTATAGGTTTGTGTCTCCATAACGAACACATCTTAAGACCAGCCTTGTATGCATTTCTGGTTGAGACACAAAAATAATTTTTTCCTTCTCTTTATTTTTTTTGGGTTTTATAAGTATGTTTCTTTTAGTGTCTCAAAAAGGAGTTCAAGAGTGAGACGATCAAAATGAAAGAAGTTATGTCAACTGCTAAATTATATTTTATTTTTATTGGAACTCTTAACTGTGGTCTTGTTTTCAGGACCATACTTGTATAATTTCAATCATTTCATACCCTAGCTCCCCAGTCCCTGAACAAGGAAAATGAACAATTAAGTGTTGCCATCAACGCTCATTACTTCATTTTCCAAACATACTTTAGAAATTCACACTAATACAATGAAGGAAAATCAACTTCAATGCCGATTGAAATATTGTTCTTTACATTTGGTGCATCTTCTTACAGGCTACTAAGCAGGAGCAACAACGTACTGAATCTTCTAGCAAAGTAAACAAGAAAAGTCCCATATTATCAGAAGCCAATAAGCATAATGACCAAACACCATCTGATGCTCGGGTACGGCAACTAAAAGATCAGCTTATCCGGGCTAAGGTATATCTTTCACTTCCGGCAGTAAAGAACAATCCCCATCTCACTCGGGAGCTTCGGTTACGGGTAAAGGAAGTTACGCGAACACTTGGAGATGCAAGCAAAGATTCTGACTTGCCTAGGAAGTAAGTGCCCCTTTAAGAATTCTGTTATACATGTCATCAGGTACTCCTGTTCTGTTATAACTCTCAAATAGTTAAATTAGTTTTGTTAATCTCAGTTTATTTTACAGCTTCATATAAACATGTTATATAGCTCAATTCTGCAATGAGCTACGTTTTGTTCAGCCTTAGTGTGTGTTTAGAGAATTAGTTACATTTTTTTTGGCAGCTCCCCAAGAGAGCTTTTGAAAAAACGCGATTAGTTCCCCTAAATTAATTTTTCCCAAACTTGCAATTAATTTATATATGTAATTATACTAATGCAAATGCAGTGCAAATGAGAGAATGAAGGCAATGGAGCAATCGTTGATGAAAGGAAGGCAAACTCAAGATGATTGTGCTGCTGCTGTGAAGAAACTTAGGGCTATGCTCCACTCAACAGAGGAGCAGCTTCGTGTACACAAGAAGCAAACCTTGTTCTTAACCCAGTTGACAGCAAAAACATTGCCTAAAGGTCTCCACTGTCTTCCATTGCGCCTTACAACTGAGTATTATAACTTGAATTCTTCACAGCAACAATTCCCCAATCAAGAGAAGTTAGAAGACCCTCGACTATACCATTATGCAATATTCTCAGATAACATATTAGCCACAGCTGTTGTTGTGAATTCTACTGCGGCCCATGCTAAGGTAAATTGTTTTCAATAATTTTTTTTTCTTATCTATCAAAAAAAAAAGAAAAAAATTTCTTGATTTGTTTTTATCTTTCAAGATTATGAACAACATCAACATCAACAACACCCTTATCCCAAATTAATTGGGGTCGGTGGTAGATGAACTCACATGAAAGATACAAAACGGTTGAAAAAAAGTAAAAAATAAAATAAAAAATAAAAAATAAATAAATAAATAAATAAATAAATAAAAATACACAAATAAAATAATAAAATAAAATAAAATGAAATAAAAATATATGTATATATAAATAAATAAAAGTAAAAAAGAAAGGGACAAGAAGAAGTGGGGGAAATGAAGGGGAAAAGGACTAAAAAAGGACCATCTGGAACATAGGAATAACAGCGAGTCTAACCCTCCACCATACTTATAGCTTTTCTCCATTCCTTTCTAAGACATACTGTCCGCCAATCTATATTCCACTCCATTAAATCTTGTTTTACTACTTTCCCCCAAGTAAGCTTCGGCCTACCTCTGCCTCTTTTTGTGTTTAGCTCTTGGTAACAAACTTCTGTTCTTACAGGAGTATCCATGGGTCTTCTCATCACGTACCCAAACCACCTCAATCTATGTTCTCTCATTCTGTATGTCTGTGCTGTTACAATACTACTCTGTCTATTTTGACTGAAACAAATTTGTTTCCATTTCATTTGGTCCCAGAGTTGGTGTGCATTAAAAATGTAAAGAAACTAAAATGTTTCATTTTCAACGGTGGCACTTTTATTTCTGGTTGACATCACTAATAATGTTATTTTAATAAATTTTCAGGATGCCTCAAAACATGTTTTCCACGTTGTTACCGATAGGCTAAATTACGCAGCAATGAGGATGTGGTTTTTGGTTAATCCACCTGGAAAGGCAACCATTCAAGTTCAGAACATTGAAGATTTTACATGGTTGAATTCAAGTTACAGTCCAGTTCTTAAGCAGCTGGGTTCTCCTTCTATGCTAGATTATTACTTTAGGACTCAGCGGGCAACTTCTGATTCAAACCTAAAGTTTCGGAATCCAAAGTATTTATCTATATTGAATCACCTCCGCTTCTACCTGCCTGAGATCTTTCCAAAGCTCGACAAAGTGCTGTTCTTGGATGATGATATAGTTGTGCAGAAGGATCTAACTGGTCTTTGGTCAATTGATTTGAAGGGAAACGTGAATGGTGCTGTAGAAACTTGTGGAGAAAGTTTCCATCGTTTTGATCGCTATCTCAACTTCTCAAATCCTCTTATCACAAAGAATTTCGACCCTCGAGCTTGTGGATGGGCATATGGTATGAATGTTTTTGATTTAGTTGAATGGAAGAGGCAAAGTATCACAGAGGTGTACCATAACTGGCAGAAGCTGGTAAGCAACATACGTTGGTTTACTTTTCATAAACATCACGAAGTGCACATATACTATATACATTTTTTGGTGCTTATTTCAAGGCTAAAACTCAGTATGAGTCCTTCCAATATGAAGTGACATGTACCTGTTCTTAACCTCTTGTCATGTTTCTTTCTGATTTGCGTTGTGAACTGATTTTCCCTTCCTTTCTAACTAAACTAACATACAGAATCATGATAGACAACTATGGAAGTTAGGAACACTGCCGCCTGGTCTTATAACATTCTGGAAACGCACTTTCCCACTGAACCGATCTTGGCATGTCTTGGGTCTTGGCTACAACCCTAATGTCAACCAAAAAGATATTGAACGGGCTGCTGTTATACATTACAATGGAAACATGAAACCGTGGCTGGAGATAAGTATTCCCAAGTTTCGAGGTTATTGGACAAAGTATGTTGACTATGATCTTGTGTATTTGAGAGAATGCAATATCAATCCATAGATGGGTCTCATGGTACGTTCAATCTTCAAAGTTTTCTTGGTATTAACTATGATGCGATGCACCTTATAGAAGTGCAATTCTATCTGTGTAGGGTTTCTATTTTTTTAAAGCTTTATGATTCTTTTTGTATACATTTTCCTGTTTTATAGTAGTCATTTTTGGATTTCGGCATAAAAGATTCACATCCAAAATCAGAGTATCAATTTGGAACCTTTGATCACATATACCCGCACTTTTGTGTTATGTACAAGTTTTTGTTTGAGTACACATTCTCCTTAATAGCATCCAGCTTGTATGACCCTTAGTTGAGTGGTATTATTTTGCTATATATTCTCTTTAATACCTTCTACAATTAATCATTCTTAACCCATCAATTACCTTAAATTGAATCTCTCTGAACACTTGGTCTACTTATCTGAGAGTTTGGCATACAGCAATCTACTAATCCGTGTATTTTTTTTCCTTTCAAATGGGTTGTAATACCCTCTATTTTCGACCTTCTTTACAACTCAGAATCCTTATTGCCGTTGTGGAAGAAAAACATTTCCTCACCCTGTTTCCTGGAGTGTACCCTGTTTTGATTATTTAGGTGCGACTTTATATGGTGAAAAAATTTCATTTTGCTTGCCTGTTGACTTTTTCTCAACTAAGAGGATGACCTTAGGTAAAACAAGGACAAGTTGGGCATTATTGTCATTATAGTTGGCACTTGGCAAGACCGACAATATAGTACCACTTCACTGAGTACCAGGTGGTTGAGTTGGAAGTAAGTGGTTAAGAAATGTAACTGAACAGAGCAAACTGAAAAATAAAAATAAAAAAGATTGTGTTGAAGTGCATGCTTGTGAATTGATAAGAGAATTCAATGGAAGGATCGGATTCAAGGCAGGGTCCCATAGACAGGCTTTTACCATTGTGTTCACGTGGTGGTGGAACCCATTATGTCCTTCTCAGTGAGTTATATGGGTGAATCATAAGAATTAGATTTAATTGAAAGATTTGTCGACGAAGGAACAGTTGCTTGTACGTGGACCATTTGATGGGGCACATGAAAGCGCTAGTGGCTGGTACAGTACGTGGTGTTACGTGATTCGGACACACTAAATTTTAAGTAAATAACGAGTTGTGGCCTTGAGTATGTCATAATACAAATTACAAATCATTCATTTTTTCCGTTATGTTGTGGATTCTTTCTTTTGTCTGGCTGGTTGACACGTAACTAACCCTCCGGGCACACGGATCACATTATGCATTTTCAATGACTTCAACTGGACCAAAGTCCGACTTTGGTACGAATATAACAAGTATAAGCTATTTGGCCATAGTCACTAAATAATTTAGGCCATCTGAAAACTTATATATGTCACTGGACCAAAGTCGCTATCTAAGCAAGCGAAATGGGTAGGAATTAATGGTGACCAAAGTAACTACATGGTGTAGCTATTTTGGTCCAATAGCTGCCACATGTCAAAGCAGGCCAAAAGAAAATCGGAAAAGCTGCAACTAGGCCAACATCATATAGTGACTTTGGACAAAAGAAGGTGTCACTGGTTACAACCAGCCCAAAGCCACTACACCATGTGGCGACTTTAGTCACATAAGCTTCCCAGGCTTCAATGGCCATTAAAAATGCATCACATGTTCGTATATAGTCGCTACATCACCTAGCTAGTGCTGTGACAATTTGAAAAATATATTAAATTCGTGGCATTCATGTATTTTTAATTGTTAAACGTGATAATACGATCAATGTCTCCCTTTTTGTGTATGCATTGTGCACATATTTAATTTGTGCGCTTGGCTAACAAATATTTTATAAACAAATTATATTGATTCAGTAAACATATTTTCTTTGACAAATACTGAAAAGTGAATCTGAAGTTAAAAATACCAAATCAACTAATTATTTTGATTGATTCAATAAACAAATTATATTGCAATCGCGTTTTTTTTCAGTAAACTCAAGTCAACAATATAAAAAAAATAATGCGTTTGACATTATTATTAACGCAATAGTAATACTAAGGGAGATGCTTATGGACAATTTTTTTTTTTTTTACAAATTTTACTATGTTTAACCAGTAAAATTTTACTTAAAAGTGTCTTATCAGTAAGATATAGTGTAAGTTGTAAGAGAGTTTATAAATATGACTTTAGGATATTTATCTATGTATAAATTTGACTTTTGCTTTATGATTACGAGGAGAAACTGTTCTAGCGTTAGCATCCGTTGGGATTACATCCAATCTCCTTCAAGTATGTTCTGGGCTTAGAGACTGTGTGTTGTGCAGTCAATTCTTGCCACGGAAGTACAAAAGGATGGGAAGTGGGAACTGAAAAGGTTAAAAGTGAAATTTTGCTTATTGTTCAGTTGTAAAACCTAAATCAAATTCAAAATAGCCAATGATTTTCCCATTTTCCCGTGCTAATGATATAATCTATAAAAGCTGCAAGTATAACTGTTTTATTCTTTATCGTGTGGTCCAGCTTGGAAACGAAAAGATTCAGAAGAGGCTATGCAATCCAACCACATAGTGAGGGTGTCAAGACAATTAGAAAATGCCAAAACTTGTCCTATTAACAACTACCAGGGAATCAAGGACCTGTATTAAGGAAAGACTAGTCTTTGATTAGAAAGAAAATAAAGATATAGAGATTGGAAGAAGCATAAGTTCATTATGCATAATTTAAGTCCAACCCCCTTTTAGTACTATATTTGACTAGATCAAATACAACAAATTGAGCAAACAACACATGGAAGCTTTTCCCTTTATCTTCTTTTCATGTTCAAGAGAAGATGGGCAATAACTTCCAATATGTCACTCACAAAAAGAAAGATTCCCGAAGCTCTCAAGACTCGACATTTTGCTTCGGTGCATCTCGTTGCCTAACTCTTCTAGTGAAATTTGTTTTGAATAAATCTGTCTATTTCTGATGAACCCCTCTTGCTCAATCATTGGTAAAATCAAGTTTAGTGATTGATTACCCAGAACAAGTCAGAGTTCGTAGGCCTTAAGAAGGAGATTATATCATTTGTCTGCTTCTTATATGGCTTCTTTGAAGCATGTCACGAGATGCTTTGCTACTTTAACAACCCAAATAAATTACGGGCATCAAAGAAATTTACATCAGTTTGAAAATGACAAAAAGTCACTTATGTCATGCAGGTCATGAGGAGCCCATAGTTGGGGACTACCATTAATGGGTTAAAGAACATGGGTCTAACTTTATGTTTTAACTCAAAATCTTAAGGCATTGAGTTTATAAGTTATTTCACTTACGTGTATCATGTTTAGTTCATTCTTTCCCTATGTGAGAATTTTTATCGCTCATACTTGAATTATAGACTGATTCTCAACTAATGGGCTATGTTCCTGTTTATAACGTCATTTGTTCAAGTTTAGTTTCTTCATTGCTTAAATTTTTTACGTGTATCGGTTAACTGGATCAATCCAGTCTAGTTTGGTGAAGATCATGATCCAAACCCACCTAAAGAATTCTGTCTGGTTAGCATTTTTGTTCAAATGTTGTCATGCAGGACTCTGATGTTAACAAAGTGCTGCAGTTAAATATGGACAGTGTGTGTTTTTTTACTTTCCTTGACATGGCATGCTTATCCCTTTTCTTTTTTAGGTTTGTTGATAATATGATATGGATAGGATAGTCAAGATATTTGTCTGAGCATAGGTTACTTCAGAAATTTAAATAGGTAGTTAGTTTGGTGCCCTCTGCTTTTTCAAGTATTTTGGGATAATAGAAAGCGAGTTTGAAGAAGAAAAAAAAAGAACAGGAGCTTTTGATGGTCTCCAAGGACAGGAGTATTCAAAGACTACCAATTCTACTGCGGTTCAATCATCAATGGGACATTTCATCCTTTTTCAGATCGAAGAGAAAGAAAAGAAAGCAGCAGGCTTACAAAAGCACCTAAGAAGCTACTTTCTATGGTTTTGAGTTCCTTGACCTTGACTACTTTTTTTTTTTCACTCATGATATGCTTTTATAAGATCAAATAAATTTTACCTTGTTTCTTTTATCAAATTCAAAATACAGAAGGTTCAAATTGATCATAGTCGCAGCAATAGGTTAAATAAAATATTCGGTATGATATACTCTTATTACATATCCAACTAGTAGTGAAAAAAAGTTGTTCATTTAAAACACATGAACTACTTGTCACTTAATGCCATTATTTATTTTTTAAAATTCACTCTTCAATTTATTTATTTTTGGTTATTCTCAAGAGCATATCTCTGTATCTTGTCCCAACTTCTTGCCTACGTACGCTCAATAAATGAAACGCCCCTTTATTTGTAGAGGTTCATGGACTGAACAGTAAACACTTGAGCTAGTTTTGCATTCACGCAACCCACTTCGACACGATTTCTTACCACTTTTTTGCCTTCACGTTTTCACCATTCTTCTTGTCAGTAATAACTCTGAGAATGCTCTGCATTAGTAACTAATGAGAAGTCTTTTCTATGCAGCCTGAACTGCACGTAACATCCCCCCAAGCTAAAAGGAAATAATAAGCAATACTAGAAGTTTTGGTATACTGATTAATAAGCTTTACAATTCAAATCTAACAGTCATCTTGAAATCTTTTGACCCTTTTCTTTTTTTGTATTCTCCATCTTTTCCTCTCCTTTGCTCGATTTTCTATCCTGATAGCTAGCCATATCTATATATTCGCCACAGTGATGGCAATTCCCAAGTTTAGTCTTTTTTTTCTTCCCAAAACAAGATGGTTGAAGTTCATTCTAACAAAAGTGGTTGGGAGGGTTATTAACTATTAGCCCCGATTCCCTGTGTGGAAGGTAGGAGGGTTAGATGCTTAAATCTAATAGAAACTTTTTTTTTTTTTAAACATTACCCTAATTACCTCTAATCTAATAGAAACTTTGACGTCATCATTAAAATCATTTCTTAAATTGTCAATATACCGTTGAGGGTAGGGGTGTTCATCAACCAATTCAAACCGATTCAAACCGCGATAACCGAATAAATCGAAAACCGAAAAAAAATCGCAAAATTTTAATTGGATTGGATCGATTTTTAGATGGGTTGATGAAAACCGATTCAATCCAAACAGATCCAATATATTAATTCTCCTCTATCTACTTGGGTTTTTCCCTAATCATAGCCATAAAATTTCTAAACCCAAGATCCATTAATCCATCAACTAAACCCAAGAAAAAATCTAGTCACATCTCATTAATAAAATTTTATCTTTGTAAACCTTCATATCTCATTGACCAAAAAAAAAAATTATATTATAGTTTACAAATGCTTTTGTATTTCAAAAAAAATAAAATTACAAAGCCAATATAGATGTAATTTGCACAATAATCAAGAAATAAATTTTGGAATTTTCAAAAAACCGAAAACCGATTCAATCCAAATCGAAAAGAATTGGATTGGATCGAATCGGATTTGAAAAAAAAATCCAAACCGAATGGATGATTATATGATCAAACCGAAAGGATTGGATCGGATGATTTTTACTTCCAAAACCGATCCAATACAGACTATGAACACCTCTAGTCTAGGGCCAGAGAAACTAGTGTTATTTTATAAATCAAAAAGGGACATATACTGCATTAACCATTAAATGTACATGTAAAATTTGCAAAATAATATTACTTTTCTGAATGAAGATATGAAGAAGTAAGGGCGAGAGAAAGAAAAAAAATTAATGAAAATTAGCGCGGGCCAAAGTGTAAAAATTAATCCTTGTCAATCCGATGGAGTGGATTGGCCCATAATGTCATTTGCCTTTGGAGCATTCAATGTTGCTTCTCCTTCCTCCTCACTTCATATATTCATGATCTTTCGTCCATTTCAACTAACCTTTTTTATTTTTTTCCCTACTGGCTGTAAGATATAATTTTACTCCTAATAGCATACTCTCATATATATACAATAATGGTGCTTTTAATCCCCAAATAAGGAATAATTTAATACACATATAATATGAAAAACATCTTAAGACTATAATTTTCTAAATAATGTAAACTATGCACGAACATCAAATAAAGTGTGAATAATTATAATTAAAAAACTAATAAGTATACGGTAAAATATGCACAAATGAGCGAGATTAATATATTATTATATAAGTAAATGGATAAAAACAAGGGAGGATGGTGGAAAGAAATATTCCATAATGGTAGTGGTAAATGTGGGGTCACCGATATCTGTATGTACATTATAATAATGAATTGGTGGAATCAGTTGCAAGTACTTGTCTTGTGTATACAAGCATGTCAGTATGTATGTGCGTATGGAAGTAGTGAACAAAAGTAACGACGTTGTTGAATTTCGAAGAGCGCCTTGTCTGCCTCTCTCTCTCTCTTTCCCTCTCTCGTTCCTCTACTTTTTTGTGTGGCATAAACCTACATTCACTCACGCATAAGAGAGAGAGAGAGAATGGATGAAGGAGGAGGAAGAAGAAGAAGGGGAGGAGCATGGAAGCTGAGAAATGCAGCAAGGAAGGTAGCTGTGGCTGTGGCTGCAGCATACGCATGTGGGTCTTTGTCCACAAGAAAACCTGTTATTGATCATCCAGTCTCCATCGACACCTCTACTTCTCCATCTCTCGCTGTACACAAATCCCACTTCTTCTTTTCTTTTCTTTTATTTTCTTCATCTTCAGAATCATCATGGTTGGCTGCCCCTTTTGCTCCCCATACAGCACATGTTTTCCATTTTGATAAAGTTCCAAACTTTCTTCCTAATTTAGAATAGAATTGCAAATTGGTCTTCCATCTCTCACCAACTCTTGGTTAACCAATTAATGACGCTCTTCATTTATGTTGAAAATGTATTCAATAAAATTGAAAATGTTTTATTTTTCTCCTTGAAAATTTATTGTGGTTAGGGGTTGTCATAATTATTTTTAACTTCTTCCCAAGTTACTTTATAATTTCGTGTTCTTTATCTAAGAAATGCCTTGTGAGTTGTGACTTGTGAGGATAGAAATAAAAGAATTTGACAGTTTTTACTTTTGTACGTGTTTGCAGATCTCAGATTCCTCATATGTATCTCCATCCACAACAAAGAACTCCCCAGGGGAGCTAATAGAAGAAACAGATTGTAGTGTCATCGCTAAAATCTACAAGAATGAGATTCCTACTAAGGTAACTGTCTTCCAATTTGTAGTTACTTAACCTTCACGATTTTTTGTTCAATTAATAATGATTAACATTTTACAAGGTGACTTGGTGATGTTTTTTTTAAATTCATCTTTAAAAGCTTTAAAATTTTCTCAGTTATGAAAATGAACTGTTTCAAAACCTCTTCACCTCCTAATCCTAATGTTAAGGTACATTAATCTCTCTTAACAAAATTAGTAATATCCATTCATTTCGATTAGTAGTGTCAATTTACAACACTTTAAGCTATTTTCATATTTTGGTACTTAAATCTTTCTAGGCTGTTTTAACTTTGCATTCCAGACTCACTTTCTAAAACACTTAAAACGGTGTGTACGACAAATGTTGCCCTATTTCTAGAGAGAAATAATTTGCTCTAGAAATAATTTTTATTATTATTATTATTATTATTATTATTGTTGTGCTTAGGAACAGTTTTTAAGCTGAAAAAATGTGTCGAAAACACATTGGGAGAAAGTTTCTTTGTTCCAGTTTTCAAATTTTTATAATTCATTTTTCAATATGTGCATTTATTATACAATGTATACGAAAATGATTTAAACAAAAAAATTATTTCCTTGTATTTTTTTTTTCCTGTGTTACCCATTCATTTTCTCAAATAAAAAAATAAATAAATCAATTTTATCAAATACTTTCAAAAAAAAATTTGTTTGCCAGACTTAAAAATTTGGGGGAAAAAAATTGTTTTTGGAAACTTGATCTGTGCACATACTAAAAATTCAATGGGGTTGCTATATTATTATTATTATTATTATTATTATTTGGTGCTTAATTTTTCCAGCACAGCATTAAAGTCGTACTGGGATTTATTTAGAATATCAAATTGTGCCCCTTGCACATGGCACATTAGTGAAGCCAAGAATCAATTCATTATAATTGCAGGAGTGAACTTTCATGATGCACCAATCTATTGCCACTTGAGTGTGGAATCTCTGCATTTTTTTTTTGTTACCAAAATGTTTCGTTGTATCCTAATTCGTCCCTACTTCAATCGATTGGTGAATCGTGAGATAAGTTTGATGAAATGTACTTGTATGAATGTTGGCATAAATAGTTCAAATTATACGTATTTGTTCCCATCTTCACCTGGTGTTTAGCTCAGCTTTGTGCTTATGCCACGTTTATTCTCATTGAAAAGTGCTTCTTCTAACAAACTATTAATTGTTCACTGATGTTGGTTGTTTGTTCTAATATATTAATATGTTGAAAATTCTTAAGGAGAGTGTGGCATCTGTGGGAGTCATCCTTTCTTCTCTAGGTACTGTGCAGTATGTAAGTAGTACACCTAAAAGTTCCCAACAAAGAAGCAAACTAAGCATTGTTGGCTTTTCACTTTTTTGGTAGCAGAACTTTGATCTCATTGATTCCTTAATTTATTTCAAAATAAAATTGTCAATATTTCATCACTTTGTAAAAATAGTTCTTCTCAGTCATGAATATATGTATATATATATAAATATATATAGTTTTTTTGACTCATTCTTTGGTTTACTTGTTTTGCAGAATTTGTGTGCAATATGTTTAGATCCCCTGAGCTACAATATCAAAGGCTGCAGTCCAGGCCATACTATATTCACAGCTCAATGCTCTCATGCATTTCATTTTGCTTGTATCTCTTCCAATGTCCGCCATGGTAGTGTCACTTGCCCTATTTGCCGTGCCCATTGGACTCAACTCCCTCGGAACCTTAACAACAACCTTTGTGGTTCGATCACTTCTATTAACCAGAGTGATCCCATCCTGCAAATTCTTGATGATTCTATTGCTACCTTCCGTGTTCATCGTCGCTCTCTTCTGCGCTCCACCTGCTATGACGATGATGACCCTGTTGAGCCTGATAATGCATCTGACATGACCAAGCTGTGTTTCTCTCTTGTACCTATTCCACCAAATGAAACGTGTTCCAAACCAGCATTGCAGGTGACTAAGCACGCCTCATGTCATTGCCATATATCCATTCATCCATTATCCTGCAGTTCCTCATCACTGTTACAATCTCCACCTATGCAATCACCTTATATCAAGTGCATGTGCCCCTCCTCTAATAGATATTATCTTGCATTAAAACTAGCCCATGAACGAGCAACTGACTTGGTCTTAGTTGCTAGTCCCAATGGACCACACCTGAGGCTTCTCAAACAATCAATGGCTCAGGTGGTTTTCTCCCTCAGACACACTGATCGTTTGGCCATTGTTACATACTCCTCAGCTGCAGCTCGTGTCTTTCCCTTAAGACGCATGACATCTTATGGGAAGCGCACTGCCCTTCAGGTTATTGACCGTTTGTTTTATATGGGGCAAGCTGATCCAATTGAAGGGTTGAAGAAAGGAATTAAGATACTGGAAGATCGCATACACAAGAACCCCAAGTCATGTATCCTGCATTTATCAGATAACCCTACAAGACCATACCATGCTATAAGCATGGAACTGCCATCTACACCCATTCATAGATTTCATGTTGGATTTGGCTTTGGTACTTCTAATGGATTTGTCATACAAGAGTTTGAGGGGTTCTTGGCCAAGATGCTGGGAGGCTTTGTTCGAGAAATCCAACTGAGAATATGTGGGACTGGAGAAGAAGTTGGCAGTGGCAGCAGGGTCATAAGAATTGGTGAGATAAAGGGCAAAGAAGAAAAGACAGTTTTATTAGACCTGGATGACTGTACACATGTATATGTAGAATATAGCTACATTGAAGGTGAAATTGATGAGTGTCTTATAAGAACAGGTAAAACTGTTGTAGGTGTTGGAAATCATAAGGGAAGTGTTACAGACGCTGCTGGGGAGACAGGGAGGGACATGAATACAGGTGGTAGGACTAGCAGCGTTGGAAGCTGGGAATTTCATGACCCTTACATGGCCAGAAGATGGGCCAAGCACTTGCAGGGTTTTAGGCTTTGAAAATGCAACGATATGTATTGTAGACCAATCCCCACCTATTAGGACATTTTTATCTCTTCAGCCATCCCTTCGTTTTAGACAGTCCTCTATTTAGTTACGCAGTAAGCGTACAGAACCGGAGAAGAAGTTACACAATTTTGTTTCTAAGTTCGCCCAAAAACAGATTATGATGAAGGTCTTAATTAACATAACCTTAGCATCAGCCAGCACGGATGGATCACAGCATCAACGTAATGCAGCTGTTCAGGGATCAATTATCTGTGTGCCTTGTCTACAGTTAAATTTCTGTAGAGAACACTATATTGAACTAAACGTGAGAAGGAAGCAATGTTATTAGACTCGACCCCGTTGGTGACTCGGTCGAGGTATTGGATTAGTGAGTCACTGGTTGAAGACTCAATGAGTATATATAAATTTATAATTTATATAAAAAATTTAAATATATTTAAGTACTTATAAAAAATAATTTTAATTTCAAATATTCTCTTTTTTTTATAAATAAATACTCTATCTTTATTAGTAATGAATATTACATTTTGTATTCCAAAAAAAAAACTATTACATTTAAAATACAATTTAATATAATAAATTAAAAAAAAAACGAGTGTTACATTTGCCATACAATAAATGCAATTAAGTACATTTCGTTTTACAATACAATGTAATAAATGAAAAGTACTAGTCATTTTTATGAGAGAATTTATTGTGGTTCGGGACCACTATTATTTTTTAGGTGATTCTTTAGTGTAAATGGAAAGGTAAAATTAGAAGAAAAAAAAACAGTAGATATAAAATGGGAAAAAAAAATTAGTGTTGTGAGAGGGAGTATCAAATCATTAGGTGGTCCTGAAACATATTAAATATTTTCCATTTTTATCTGTTATTTCAGAGCTATTTCACACTATCTATAGCCTCTTTTTTTGAAAACAACTAGTCTCTTTTTGTTTTTCTTTTGAAAACAGCTATTGGTCTCTTTATCTGCTTCTTCTTCTTTGCCATAAGTGCCACAGCGGCCACGATCTTACCAAGTTCAAGCTTCTTCTTCTTCGTCTGTTTATCTCCTCCACCGCCTCTGCCCCGACCACATCCGGCCAAGTCATCTCCACCATCCCCGGCGGCCACCGTTCCATTTTCTCTGACGTTTTTCCTTCCTTTTTGTTTATTTTTTATCCGGCGGGTCACCGGTTTTAATAAAACCGGCCGGTTTATTTCAGTTCACACCGAGTCACACCAGTTTGTTTGCATGTCCGATCCATTACTTTGCCCGGACCGGTCATATGTCCAGTTTACCAATTTTTGATTCGACCCGGCCAGTCCGGTCCGATTTTTATAACACTGGAAGAAAATATCTTTTTCTCTAACTAACAAGAATAAATCTAATCATATAGACAAGTGTTATAGTCAAAAGTGTGCACAGCAATATAGATTGTGTCTGTTGAACTATTATTTTTGCAGGGTGAATTATGGATGCCAAATTTGGGTGGATCATGGTGCCTGAATAACTATAGTAAGCACTAATAATAAATTATTATTATTATTATTAGTAGCTCTAGAAAATATATTTAGAGGCAGAAACTGAACAAGTATCTTGATAATTTCTTCGTCTCGTGTAAAGCTACTCTTTTATTTATTTCTTTTGCGATAGGTCTGTGATCTATGCCGTCATAATGCTGTGAATATGCATCTCGAAGGTGTAAAGTAGGCATCTGACACAATTTTTCTCTTGCCCTTTCCAGAGATACATATTTCAATGCAAGATAGGAAGTCTTGTAAAGAGTGACCTTTGGTTTAACCGCATGTAGGTGTTCTTCCAAGGCTAGCAATTAATCATGGTTATAATCATATTCTAAGTACTGATACAATGGAGAGCCATCCTCTGTTAGGTGAAGTAGGGAAAAGCATTCGTCACAAAAATAACAAGGGTTTTCTGGTGTCCATTTGTCATCCACCGTGACCTTCGTAGCTCTAAATATTTTGCAAACACTACATTTCTGAAACCGCAATTTCAGTTGAAAAGTGATTATTGGATAAACAATTTGATTCTGCACATCCTCGGGATGAATTAACCTCATATCTCGTATTACTAATGTATGGTTGCAGTCACCCTGCAGGTACAGGCAAAGAACAAACTACATTAAACATCTAAGTTCTAACAACTTAACCCTCCAAAAACAGTTCCAACAAGTTAAAGAAAAACTATATGTTCATCACACGTACAATTTTTATTCGTACATAATAAGACAATCCTCAATCAGGATCCTGATAGCCAGAGGTTGGCCTTTGCTAGAGCTCAATAAATCATCTCTGTTTTAATTTATATATTAACCATTGATGGACTCCTCTTTCTTTTGTAATTGAATCATTTAGCTCCTCTACCAATATAATTAGTTGCCCTTTAAGACCTTCTGTTATTAACAAATATTGAAAGTTATAACAGCCACTGATAAGTCCCGATAAATAGGCATTGGCTTCAGAAATTATTCCACCCTCAACCCCAGAAAAGGACTTGCATATATTATCATCCTTGTGTCACCTTAATCCATCTTTGCATAGTCACTACGGCTACTAGTTTAAAGAACCTGTTTTTCTCAGGTAAACCAACAAACTACATCTACCAACAAACTCATGTTTTTTAAAGTTTTCCCTTTTAACTTGAAAGGCATTCTACTGTTGTAAAATTACACAACCTCAGTTAAACTTCCCCTTCATTTACCATACCTAGTTTGTAAGCAATGTCTTACTTGAAAGCATAATAAAAAAGAATGCAAAAAATAAACAAGGCGACAAACAAACAATAAATCTGAGACAGAAAAAAGAAAATACCTGATGACAATATAGGTATCCAGCACCAAGTCGAAATTTTAAGTCACAAAAACGTATCTTGTGCATCTGAATAGATGTGAATCGAGGCAAGCGTGATTCATCAGGTGCTTCACCAATGATTGCTTTTTGTTTCTGCTGTAGTTCCCCAGTTACAATATATTCCCATTTCTTTTGTGCCTCCTCCTTGGAGTTTCGAAGCCAATCCAGTATAGGACTGGTCAAATCAATAGCAGATGGATCCCTCAAATCAGTGTAGAATACATCCTGCAAAGAAGTAGCTTTTTGTCAGATTAAATGAAGAACTAATGACATATTTACAAGAGCAAGTAATGGAGTGGAGCATACTTCAATGAGAAAATAACCAGAAGGATTATGCTGCCCAGCTTTTTCCATCGCCTGGTCCATTGAGCAATAGATCTTGTCCCTCAAAGCAGTTAAGGTCTGCCCTCCAAGAACTAAAAACTCTTGGGTCTACCCAAAAAAACAAAAAAACAAAAGAGAGGTCCCACTTGTCAATCAGCTATTCCATGGTAGTTATACAAGAATCATTTTGGAAATTAGATAATGAATTTTATTTTCATTAACATCACCATGGCATTGAATACCTTGACAGCCTTCCGAACATTATGGTAAACCTCCACAGATAGAACAACTTCTGGATACAGCACAGGTATGATCTGTTCCTGAAGGCCTACTGTGTTGACCTGCCAAACATTAGACCAGAAGAATGATTAGGAATATAAACATGAAAAATGCATACAAATTCAATTCCAGTTTGAACATATTTATAGTAATGTATTGACTATTGAGCAAATCCTGGAAGTCACATTTTCAACTTCGCAATCATTCAATGAAATGAAAAAACCGATGTAAGTTAGCAGTCAACTGCATGGAAGTTGTATATGGATATAAAAATGAAGAAAACATTGTATCTCCCAATAAAAGGAACCCTTAAGTAATTCCTGATTTGATTTCTAATGATTTTAAAGTTTTTAGTTCACTGTAAAATTCTACATTTTGAGAAAAAATTGATATACATATTTAATCCAACTGAGAAAGGAATATAGACAAGCAATACAGAAAATCAAAAGTTTAAAAGGCATACATATAAGAGGAAAACTTAAATATTTTCTTTAACTCATTTAAAAGTCAGATACGTCAGTACAGTGTATTGAACAAAACAATTTTTTTTTTTTTTTTTTTGTAAATGAACAAAACAATTTTACATGCAGCAATAATCACATAAGAATCTCACGCAACCTTTCTGGTAGAACTTGTAGACCTAAGGGTCCTCATCCTTTCAGTTTTTGTTGATTTGAGGGCAGATTCACTGATCCTGCAAACAGGACTAAACCAAAGACAAGATACCTGAAATCAGATCTTATATAGTAAATGAAATAATCACATAAATATTCATAATACCAACTTAAATGAATGAAGTCTGACTGCAGCCTTGTCTTCTTCCTGATTCTGATTGAGTCTCACAACACGCTCCACCTTTTCTATACAAACACTCTGGAAATTGTTCAAATATGAGAAGAAAAACATAACCCAGAAAAAAAGGCAGAATATTATAGAGAAATTTTTTATGACGCATATTTAATGCTAAAACATGCTTTAGGAATTTTCCAATAGCTGAATGGTCCAAACAAATCTGGGCATACATTCATCTCGAAGCCCTACGTGAAACAACTTCTAATTATTTGAGTTATCTACTTAACCTACTCTAACTGCAAACTTAATCAAATTGTACATGATATCAAACAAAAAAAGGGTAATGGGGTAAGAACAAATTTAACATGCTTATCCTAAACTAGCTTGTAGGTACTTGATCATGAGCAGACAAAAGATTTGACATTCTAATCAGAACAAGAGAACAAAAATTGAAACCGAATGATTTAGTTTGTACATGAACGAGATAGTTTACTTCACAAACCAAGATAAACTGTCATATTAAACTCATACTTGAGAAAGGCCAATTCTCAAGTTCTAATACATGTAATAAACCTTCACATCTCGGGCATTGGGCATCAAACGGACGAGAGGAAGATAATATATGCATAAAATATTTACAGGGAAACATAATGCTTTTAGAGAGTTAACATACTTCAAGTGCAGAATTATTTGTTCCTCTTCTCTTTCTCTTTAAGTTCTTCTCATGACACCTGCTTACCAAAGAGAAGTTAAGACAGAAAAGAGAGTGAATGGGGATGCACAACTTTATTATTGTTAGGGCTCCCTGTATATGCATTTACACTAATGAATTTTGTATAAGTGTAGTACAATTATAATTCTTTAACACTTAATAAAAGTTCGTGTAATCACAATCACAACCATATCTGAAAGAAGTTTCAAAGAGAGAATAGAAACAACACAAGGAAAGCAGCTAATTAAAACAATCTGAGATTCTTCTTCTTCTTCTTTTAATTCTTATCATATTGTCATGATAAATATGGCTAGAATGAAACATGATTGAGACATCATACAACCTTGCAGTGAAATTAATTCAGATAATGGGAGCAACCAAATTTCCCCGTAAAATAGTCAAAAGCATAAGAATAACAAAAAAAAATTGACTGACCCTGCATTGGATTGGTCCAAAAGTGGTAGCTGATTTTCGTTGTTCTCGCTACCCTGTCATAACACTTTCATTAAAGTAATAAACCAAAGGAGTAAAAATCAAAGAACCACCCGAAAAAAAGAGTAGACAATACAATACAATACAATACCTGAAATGCTTCTTTCAAAGCCATATCCATTAACTCGTCGTCTGTAAATACTTTAAGGTCATCAACCCTGTAAAGGCATCAATTGGTGAGTCGAGAATGGGAATGGGAGAATGAAGAATGAGAAGTAGTAGAGAGGAATAAAGCATACGAGATATCATGTTGAGAAGGATCTTCACATAATTCAGCCTCTAGATTCTGCATAAACAAAGCAGAGATAAGGGGGAAACACAAATGGAAACATGAAAGGAGAAAATGAGAGATAAAATTGTGATTAACCTCAACTTCAGAAAGAAGAGAAGCGAGAAAATCAGGAACCCCAGTGTCGGGGCCAACCATATTGGAAACGTAAATGGGTCCACCCCGTGGAATTGAAACATCACATTCTGTTGTCTCTGGAATTGAAGATTCTATTTCCTCCATTCCCACACTGTCACTGCTGAATTTAACAAGCTCTTTCAGTTTATGGTCAAGGGAAAGGAAAGGAATAGGATGGTAAATAATTATTTTATTGGAAAAAATTTATGATAATTATAGTGTAACGAATATCCAAACTAAACAAAATAATTTCTTAAATTAACAAATGGGTATCTATAATACACTCCCATATGAATCATGAATCAACCTTTTTTTATTATAATAAGAAATCACAACTGATTATAACCCACAAGAATTATTAGATAATCTTAATAGAGGTGCCACAGCAGTCCATTGTACAACTCTCATGCCAGAACTAGGGTTCCTCCAAAGCAAAATAATAAAATCGTTCACATGTACAACACCAACTTAACTCAATTAACCCAAGACCCCACTATACTAGAGCAAAACACCAAACTTATGTGCAAGATGCCATAACTCTTTTCTTTCTTTTTTTTGTTCTAGATAAAATAAATTTTATAGAGAGATGTGAATTACAACAAGAGGGAGGATAAAAGGTCTTACAAAACAGAAAAAACTAAAAAACAAAAGAGAGCAGAACAAAACTAAGAATGCTACCAGGCTGCCCAATCTCTCTGCAAATCTGAGATACCAACTCGGCAACTCCCTGCCATGACCAGAACAAACTAAGTAGCAACTCTTAAACGATTAAAACCCTGAAATCCAATATACTTATTGCAAGTTATCCCTCTCAGAGCCACCCCTAATGTAATCTTAAACTTGGCTGCGATCCCTAGACAAACATAAGAACTTATATTATGCTTAATAATCATGAAAACATAATAGTGAAAAAGTGCAACGTTCCCAACTCACTGGAATAAGTTTACAGTGCCAAAGCCTAGCATCACAAATTATGTATGACTGTATGGACTTCGAAACACTTTATAAGTGTCTATCTTATAAAGCTACCTAATAGAATCTTCACTTTATTTCAGTTTATTTGAAAAATCAAAAACCACCCCCTATGGAGGGTTTGGATGGATTACTTGCTGTAAGTATTGCATTTTTATGTTAATACTTTATGTCCATGTAATGAAAGTAATCATCATCCAGTAAAATCGTTAAAATTTTTAGAACCAAGGCAACAAGAGCATATCAGTTTGAACAAAAAAAAAACACCAAATAGTTGATGAGAATACAAAAATCTCATTAGAATTATGACTGACATTTGGGGTTATCAGGAACTACCGTGGTATCATTTCAAGCAAATCTTCACTAGATAAATTTTCATTAGAATGATATATGATTACGCGAGAGATAAATGAAGAAGGAAGGAATTTCAGCTATACCTGTGCAAGATTCGATGACAGTGGCAGAAAGCAACACCCTTGCAAAGCTGGTATATCAAGCTCTGCAAACAAATCCACAAAATCAAAGAAAAATTCAAACAAGAAGCCTTAAATTTACTCGATAGCACAATTTAAATTGAAAAAAAAAAAAAAAAAGACCCAGATGAAATTTCAAAGTTAAAGGGAAAACACCCCATGATAACATATGAAGCAAGCAGAAAAATCCTAAGATAAACATATGAAGCCATTAAGGAGGAAAAAAACTTGTGAAGGGAAACCGTACCTTTGTAAAGAAGAAGAAGAACTAGTTGAAGCAAGAAGAAATCAGAAGAGAAGAAGAACGAGTCGAACAACCTCTGTGAAGGAGAAGAATTAAGAGAAGAAGAAGAAGAAAAAATCGCTCGTGTAGAAGAAGAACGACGACAAAGAGAAATTAGGTTTTGATAAAAGGGCTGGCCCGCGGTTGACCCTTCTATAACCCAATGAAAAATAACCTCTACAATGTGAGAAGGATTTGTCTCCACTCTGCAATCAAGGTTTTTTACACTTGTGCTTTCTTCTTCAACCTTTATTTATTTATTTTATATATTTTTACTGAACGTTAATTATTTTTTTTAGTATACTCACTCTCACTGAACGTTGAATAGAATAGATACAGCTATCATAAAAAAAAAAAAAAAAAATGTAACCTAATAATATATAATATACTTTTTATAATTTATAATTAAAAAAAAAAAAAAACTAACCCGCGCGAGTTTACCTGCTCCGAACGTATTCATATTATTAGTAGTTTAGTAGTGATATACTGTTAGTGTGTAAGACAGAGAGAGAGAGAGAATCATAGAATAGCTCCGAGATTGAAGGGGCAGATATTTTGTATGCGTTGTTGGATTTCGTAGATCTGGCCACGTACGCTTTTCCTTCTCCTTCTCTCTGTACCTGTATGTATGTACGCTGTACCTACCTACTGCTTCTCTCTGCATTTTCTTTTCTTTGTATGAAATGCATGAGATAAAGACAAAAGTACGCTCTTAAGATTTGGTTGCGAATCCTAATGTTATTGTTAGATGAAGAACTTATCAAGTTTCTATGCATGATTTTTACATTCCTTTGGATAATAGTTTTTAAATTTTTAACAACCTTTTACCAGGTGCCACCCCTAAAGGTGTCCTCAGAATTATGGGTGTACAAGGCTTAACAATATACCATGTCAAAAGCCATTTACAGGTACACTTGGGTTTTGAGCCTTTTAACTTGATATCCATGGTTGTCAGTAGTTAATCTTTATTTTCTTTTCTTTTCTGTTGCGTCCAGAAATATCGACTAGCGAAATACCTACCTGAATCCTCATCGGATGGTATGTCTATCTGATTTTCATTGTTCCAAATGTTCATTATATAATATTTTTTTGGTTTATTAATTTGGTGTTCTGAGTCAATTGAGCAGACAACTTTGCTTTTAATTTTCCCTTCGATTTGTTTTGTGATACCTTTTACATTGTTTATGGAAGGGAAAAAAGCCGACAAGAAAGAAACAGGGGATATGCTTTCCAATCTAAATGGTTCATCGTAAGTAAAGCTCCCTCTGTTACCTTTGTGTTTTCATACTTGTACAAGGTGATAGAAAATAGTAATATTTTTTTTGTTTTTTTTTTGTTTATTCTTGTTACTATTGCACATTCTGCTGGGCTTTAACCATCTGATTTGCTTTTGAATCCCGCAGTCTAACTTAAGCCAGAGTTAACATTATAGAGATTTTTATTTAATTTTATAGTTTCAATGCCTCAAAATTGTTTAAATTACGGGGAAGGTAACTTTTACATGAAAAGATGTTTGATTGTTTCCTAAGATCTGGTGCTGTAACTGTAAGTGACCAAAGTTACTAGTGGGGGTTTGTCCGTTTGTTTGTAGTGGGATGCAAATTACTGAAACACTAAAGCGACTGCTTGAGCAATTTGAGGTATGTTTCTCTTGTCGAAGTCGTCGTTGAATTACTACATTATATTAGCAGACTATTATTTGTTATGTTTCCTAGTGCATTTAATCATGTGAAATGAAGTGATGAGATGGATTTTCTCTCTTATTTATGTGCAAGCCAAACCAAAACACTCCTCGTTAAATCCTGACCAGCGAAGATAGAGGCAAGGGCAATCTTTATACACAATCTTATTGTTGTTTATTTGCAAAGAGACTGTTTTCAGATTCGAACCCGTGATCTTTCAGTCACAAAGGAGAGCAAGCCTCGAGCAGTGATAAAGTTGTTCCTTGGTAACTGAAAAGTCACCGATTCAAATACGGGAAATAACAAATATGCAAAGATAAGGTTGTATACAAGGATTACCTTCACTCCACCCTTGCTAATTCGAATTTAACGGGGAGTGATTTTTTTTTTTTTATCTCTTCTTGTTTATGGCATTCAAAACAAATTGGTTTAATTATATAAATCATTAAAGTCTAAGTTTTATCATCCATGGTTTATCTCTCATTATTACTCTTTAGTGGGTAATGTTTATACCAGTAGAAAAACTCGATACTAAAACCTCAACCATTGTAGCCCCGAGCCAAAATTGCACAATAGACAGTGGTATACAAAGTCTACTTGCAATTGGTGCTGTCTTTGAAATTTTATTTAAATAATATACATTACAGGTGTATACTTCTAAGGTCATCAAATACAAGATTTTAAATATACTCCTCTTTTGTGTAGCTATAGGCGGCAGTGGAAGTTACATAGTTCTAATCCAAGGAGAAAAGGATAACGTTACATGAATGCATTTGCAGGGCATTAAGTATAACACGCTAACAAGATGTTCATCTGGAAATGATTTTCAAGTAATAAAGTAAACTAATTCTTGTACCATTTCAAAAATAAAAATAAAAAATAGTAAACTAGTTCATATGCAAGGAAATTGTTTAGTACAAAAGGTCCTATTTTGTTTTAACAATTACTGCATGATAATAAGCACACTAGTGGTCATCGTATATTAATCATTGTTTGAAAATTGAATATGTTTGCCGTAGACATGCAAATCTAAAGGAAAATCCATGATCTTCTTAACAGCATTCTGAAAGAATAAATATATCTTCTTATAAATAAATAAAGCAGAACAGAAAGAAAGTTGAATTGTGGTTATGATGAAGGTTTTTAAGTATTTTTGGTAAAATGTGAAACAGGTGCAGAGACAGCTACAACTACGGATAGAAGCGCAGGGTAAATCCTTGAAGAAGATTATTGAAGAGCAACAACTGCTCAGTAGAGTTCTTTCAGTAGTATCTGACTGTGGTGTTGCAGATGCAGTTCCAGGAGATATGTGCCAAGAACCTGATAATAAAACCGACCCAGCAATCCCTGCCCCAACCTCTGAGTGCTACCTTCAGGAAAAAGCTGCCAAAGAGCGTGCCCCAGCTAAGAGTTTTTCAATTGATGAATCTTTTTCATCTCACCATGAACCGTTGACACCGGATTCTGGTTACCCTACTGATTGCCCTAAAGGGGAGAGATCAACAAAGAAGCAACGGATGAGCATTGAGGAAGAAATGGTGCTTCCGCATTGATGCTTTAGTCAAGCATGTCATCATATCAGCAACCAAATATTGTTTTCCTTAGCCAAGAGAAATTTGATCCTTCATTGGGTATATCTGCAAAAAGGGAGGAATTGGAGCACTAATCTGTGATTTATTGTAACTATGGGTGTTAAAATTGTCTAGGCCTTTGGCCTAGCTTGTCTAGGCCTATCTTGGTATGTGGGTTTATGTGGGTTTTAGTTGTTAGATCCATGCTTAGACTTGTATAAAAACTTATTTAATAAAAAAGTCTCAGACTTCAATTTAAAAGTCCGGCCTTAATGTCAGGTTGGCCTACTAACTCTTTTTTTATTTTATATTTTTTATATTAACTTAATTTTCACTCCCATCGTCGTGTCCAGCCTACTCAAGTCATCAGGCAATCGTTTTCCGTCATTCTAACCTAATTTTTAATGATTTTGTTTTATATTATGCTATTTGGATATACATTGAATTTATGAATTTTTGTGAAATTATTAATGCTGTTGATCGTATATTCTGTTTGGATAAATTTTTGTTGTCTTATTTTTTTTAACAGGCTAAGTTAGGTTTTTGTTTTTTTGTAAATAAGTCAGGTCACAAACCGATAATTATATTCATAACATATTACAGGCAAGGTCATTCTAATATATTTAAACACAGATTTAACCTTTCAAGACCAAAGTCCAATCTAGCTTAGCCCATTAATACCCCTAATTATAACGTGCAGCTTGTGTGCACTAGGACTTATTTTTTCATGCTTGGTGAGTTATTTTCTTGGGTAGATTATGGAAACTGTTCATGATAGATTCCCCATCTTATTAGATTCCAAGGCAATTGTATTTTTAGTTCGGTTATATTAATAGTTTGTATTTAATTATTTATTAATAGAATGGAAACAATGAGAATTGAATTCACGATTATTTAGTTATAGAAGTTCTAATATCATATAAAGAATTATTTTACCTAAAAATTTAAGTTGTTAAGTGAAATTATATTAATGACTAAATTAACCAGATTTTATTTTAATTTTAACTGCATTCAAAGAGCTAATGTGAATTGGGTTAATTGGAAGTGTCTTGGCATCTGTTTCATAGACCTATTCATCACGGTGACTCTGATTGGTTGATGGGTTTTACGTGATTTCTTAGTCAAAGTAATTCTACAGATGTTTAGGAGCAGTACAGTGCTGTGTTGTCTAGCAAGACAGAGAGAAAATTGATCCATTTTCGTTTTCATAATAATGATCCCCCCAAAATATTGTTTATTTTAAGAAAAAATTACTGGCACATCTTTATTTCACAAATTTTTCTACGTCACTGATTTAATTCATTTAGTTAACATAAAATTATTAAATGTAAGTGATGTTTAACTATTTTTAAGCTACCGTTTTATCTATCACAAATTAACTAGGATATGAATCCAGTAATGCCATCCATCGAACAACATAATAAGCTCAACGCACGACATTAGTTACAAGCAGTGTTTTAAAACTCGGACCGGTCATCGAACCGGTCAAGTTACTGAGTCACTGGTTCAACCGATTTTACTGTTCACATATTAAAAATATAAAAATATTACTTATCTTAATAAAAATTCACATAAGAAAACTATTTATGAGCTTCAAAAAATAAATTGATTTTCAATGATAGCAAATATTATATACTTCTAAGTTTCTAGCTCTAGACCGTTGAGATGAGATCATGAGACCATCAGTGTTTATCACCACTTAACTTCATGAGATCATTATAGGCTTTTTGACCCTTATGCCCCTTAATTAATAATTAATTACCAAATTGCCCCTCATTCAAAACTATTTCGAAAATTTACCCTCCCCAACAAACATAACACCAATCTGCCCCTGTTTGACCGTTGACCACGAAGCCTACCCGGGTACACCATTATCTACCCGGGTAAATTTTGAAACTTTTTATCTACCCGAGTATGTAGGGATGTACCCGGGTAGAGTTCTTGAATCTGGGAAAATGTTTGAATTATTTACCCGGGTACGTAGCAGTGTACCCGGGTAAATCGCGACGGTAGGGTTTTAAAATACCCCAGCAGCCCCATTCGAAAACCCACAAAAGGGGTACCCGAGTAGAGCTGCTGGAGGAGTGTCATCTTGAGCGATTTCAGGCATAATCTTGCACTAATTCGTCTTGTTTGTGATCATCATTCGCGGACCTTGCAACCTCTCTGCCTTCTACCGATTGAAATCGATCAAAGGTGCATTTTTTTTTCAGTTTTTTCAATTATGTTATGATTTCTGTTCTGATTCATTGTTTTCGTTTATATCATTTGATTGTGTCCGAATTATTTTATCAATTTGTATGTCATACGCTTACCCTAACCCTGAATCTAACCCTAACCCTAACCCTAACCCTAACCCTAACCCTAACCCTAACCCTAACATGTATCTAATTTCTGATTTTGGTTATTTTTTCAGTTTAATAGTGTGACACAATGACCTCTCGACGCGTTTCAAAGCTGCCAGTGACCCATTCCGAGAGAAGAACCAAGAGTCGTCACGATGGGTCGTCATCCTCTCAGCCCCAGGCTGCTTCGAGTCAGGCTCCGGACTTGACGTTCGGATATTTGTTTGAGGATGACATTCCTTCACACGAGAAGTTCGTGAAGTTTTTCATGACCCGGAAGATCTGCGAACCGAAATCACTGGATTCGGCATTCTTCAACCTAGAGCGTTTTGACATCGTGCCGCTTCTTGAGCAGACACATTTACTTCACCTGGCGGAGATGCGGTGCCCATACTCGGAGGTTATGGTAAGAGCCTTCTACCAGAACCTTGGCTACTCGCAAGGCGAGCTGACTTCCCGTGTATGCGGGATTGATATCATCATGACTGCTCCTATCTGGACGGAGCTACTGGGGTTCGATTTTGATGGTGTCTCAGGAGCAGCACTATATGATGGAGACAGCCATCATATATTTGGTGATTATAACCGGGAGACCATTGTTACAGAGACTAGGAGGGCAGACGCTGAGCCCGGTCATTTTGCTCATTATCCTGTTAGCAACTTGTCAGTTTCTGCTCGCATTCTTCATTATGCGGTGATTTAGGCATGTGTGACCTTGACCCCATTTACGTACCACCCAGTTAGCTCCCTTCTTCGGCTTAATTGCCCTCATATACCAGGGACAACCGTCAGCATGGTTTTTACACTTCATAACAAATCTTGACTCGTCGCTTTTTTCAACTATGGCTGTCGTGCGCCCCTTCATACAATGTATCTTCACAGCATGTTGCAATTCTGGTGGACCCAAATTCTTGTTGCACAAATAACGGATCTCCTAACTTCCAACCTCCGTGCAAGTCATCATCGCCATATAGGATCTCCAACTCGTCATTAGGGTGCGCCCAGTTAATGAATGAATAATGTTGGCTTTCATTCCAGAATGGCTCCTCAGACCCTGCATCTAAAGATCATGTCAAATTTAATAACTTACCACAAATAATAAATTGTCTAAAGCAAATATTCAAATTTAATAACTTACCACTACTGACTGGGTCGACATGAAGTGGTGACAAGGCTGGGGTACCGAGACTTACGGCGCTCATGTCAGCCTCAAAATTACCGTCCACGTCAGTGTCTGACGAATCACCTTCTGGAATAGCACTTTCAGGTTCTCCCTCATCTTCGCTGTCCACATAGTCCTCGTCTTCATCCTCTTCATCCTCATCCCATGCTACCTGAGGAGGTGCAGAAGATCGTACAACTGTATCTTCTTGACCGGTACAGTGTGCAGTAGTGGTTGTATGCACCGGTAAAGATGAAGATTGTCCAACATCAACTTCAACATATATCTCAATATATTTTAATACTTTCCATTCAACAAACGCATCTGTTACGAACTCCACATCTTCATCATCATTTATATCGTTTCCAATGTAGTATATTGTATCCATATCCACTACAGTCTCTAACCTGGCTATCATGCGGTGGATGGAATGTATGCCTTCTGACCCCATTTTTTGAAGAATTCTCTCCTTCAGTTCATTGCATGTAGTGCCCACTTTGATTTTCATCGTTTTTGTTTTTCCTTCAAATCGGACACCGTTCGGACCTTCAAAATGCCTCCCATTGTAGTAAACAACTATAGGAACCATGTTTGGACTTGAACTCATCTTTCACACAAAAATTAGATCTAGGTTTTGGGTTTGGAGGTTGGTTCGGATTTTTTAGCACAAAATGGGAGTGTGGAGATGTAATCTCAATGTCCCACTAAGATTCAGCTTTCTGAAATGATGAGATGAAATATGTGTGATGTTTCGGATTAGAGAGGGTAAGAGAGAAAGATTTTGGGGTTTCAAAAACCCTATACCTCGCAACAATGGCCGAAACCCATACATATTGGGGTTTCTGGACGCGATTTACCCGGGTACACTGCTCCGTACCCGGGTAAATAATTCAAACATTTTCCCAGATTCAAGAACTCTACCCGGGTACATCCCTACATACTCGGGTAGATAAAAAGTTTCAAAATTTACCCGGGTAGGTAATGGTGTACCCGGGTAGGCTTCGTGGTCAACGGTCAAACAGGGGCAGATTGGTGTTATGTTTGTTGGGGAGGGTAAATTTTCGAAATAGTTTTGAATGAGGGGCAATTTGGTAATTAATTATTAATTAAGGGGCATAAGGGTCAAAAAGCCGATCATTATAAGATGCAACTAAATTACATAAACGAACTACACTAATCTAAAATACCTTATTATTTTCACCTTACTTTTAATCATATTCATCATAAAATATGAATATGATTTAATTCAAGAGTTCTTATCAACAAAAAAAAAATTACCAAAAAAAAAAAAACCGGTTTAACCCGAGTAGCCGGATCGCCGAGTTTCGACCGGGTCAACCGGTCCAATCCGGACTGACTGCAAAACCGGTCTAACTATCCGCTCGGACCGGAGAACCCACCGGGTCGACCCGGCCGGTCCGAGCCGGGTTTTAAAACACTGGTTACAAGCACTCTTAAAAGGTCAACAAGACTTTACAGGCTGGGCCCAGCATTGTTAGTTTAACACTTTTGCCAGACCAGACCATCTTAAGTTTTGGTAGTTCCATTTTATAACATGTATTTCGGCCTGGCCCAACAGACAAAACAATGTTTGCCCAAATGGCCCATCAAAATTTTAAGGTGGGTCTACTTTCTCTTCAATCACATTGATTTGACAGGCCCGGCCCGGCCTCACCTCTATGAACCAAGGATATTTGCAACAGTCTGCAATGGGGTGAGTGTCACATTCATAATCATAGCAGTGAAAACAATACCAATATTTGGCCAATCCTAAAATAAAACCCACTGTTCAGAAAGAACCTACAAACAAGGTTGAATTTCATGGACTACTTAAAATAGTATTTCTATTGATGTTGTAAAAAACATTACAATTAGATGAACTATGATACAAAAGAGGTCTAAGACTCAAGAGGATCTTTGTCTTCGATGGGTTGATCCCTTTAGAAGACACAGCCGCAGGCGTCTGCTGAGAGCCTCCAGCTTCTCAAATCTGTCACTCTTAGGTTTCTTTGCAACGGTTTCAGCTTTCTTCTTCTTCTTTTTCTTCTTATTTTTCTTATGCTTCTTGTCGTCTTCTTCTTTTGGGTCTGACGATTTTTCTTTCATGCTTCTTCGCATAGGTGTTCCAAACACCTTGACAGTATTCTGAAACTATTTTTACAAATGATGCATATCAACGAATGAATAGCTATAAATATATTATATGCCACGTATAAGCATTAGATTAGATGAATAGAAGAAACCAGAAAGAACCCTTTTGATATAAACTAGCAGGCAAATTACTGTCACATTCCAAAGTCATTTTCAAGACGTGCCTGCTATTCCTGAATAAAGCAGAGATTATGCAGAGAGACATGAATGTGTGATTGTGCATGCAAGAGAGAGAGAGAAAGAGAGAGCTGAGACCTGAAAGAGGTTATCATCAGCCTTTAAATCTGCAGAAGATTCTTCATCACTGCCTCCTAAAGAAGAACATCTGCCCCAGCTTTCTCTATTTGAGCTTGTATACGAGCAACAATCTTCAATCTGGCCATTTAGCTTATCCTATAAAATCATTAATAGCAGATTTCAAGTAAAGTAGTGCTAAAATTACAAAGACATGGACGATTCTAGGGTAAAATAACACTCAAAATCTCTTCAAAGCAATCAAAATAATCCCTTGATCAATGTAGCCAAGTCCATGTCCACCAATGAAATTATTCACCCATTCAACTTAAACTTACCACCAATAAAGATTTGTCTGAAAATTTTGTTTTTTAACCCAAGTTCCACTTTTGGAAACATTTTATTGAATTGCGATACTTTAAAACTGTTAATACAGATATTTGGCCAAGTCAGCGTTTTTTAATTATTTTTTGTCCGCAAAATGCATTTGCTGGCAAACCACAGAAACCTTGAATGGGTGCAGTTATGACATCAAACATCACTAGTATTGGTGTCTGCTGGAGTCATTTCTCATGACAACAGACGTGCCAGTGTCTGTACCGGATCCATATTACATACTTCCTTTTGGAAGTCTAAGGAAGTCAAATCCCTTTTAATTATTAAAAATTCAATAATTGAATAAAGGAAAAATTACCAAAAAAAAATACAGGTATTCGAGATAAAGTTTTCAATTTTAAGAAAAATTGACCACTTAAGTCGTTACTTAAGTCAATAAGTAGTTACTCATTAACCACTATTTGAACATTATCAATCAATTGACTATATAATTATTCCTAAACTCAATTCACTCTCCACTTGAGTTTGTCTTGATATTAACACATTGTCAATGAATTGAATATATAATTGTTCCTTGTAAAGAACCTTGGGATACACCACCCCAAAAGCTAGCTCAAAGGGTGAAAATGCCCAAGGCCTTATAAACTCCACATTAGTTGCACATACAACCAATATGGGACTATATATCTCAACACGCCCCCTCACACAATAGCCCATTGGGCTTGAAGACTGGACAATACAACAGGCTCAGCCTACCTATGCTAAGAAATGCCACAAGAGAAAGTGGGGGGCGGCGAGACTCTGATACCATGTAAAGAACCTTGGCATACACCACCCCAAAAGTTAGCTCAAAGGGTGAGAGTGCCCAAGGCCTTATAAACTCCACATTAATTGCACATATAACCAATGTGGGACTATATATCTTAACATTCCTAAAATGAAAGTGATTTTGTTGTTAAAAGTTTCCTTTTTGTAATTTTTTCAAAAAATTTATAGCGCTAGAAAATGTATGTATGTGGCCCACTTTTTTAAAAAATATAATGCTGACATGGCCAGAAATACCATTTAATGTAAAGGTTAAAAGTGCACTGCTCACTTCCAATAGTGAAACCTAGAGGTCGAAAAAAATCCCTGAATAACTTCTTAATTTCAAAGACAGTGCTTGATAAGATCACCTGCACATCTGTGGGTTCATCATGGCCAGTTTCATCATTTCCATTCGTAGCATCTTCTTTAACCATGGACTCCTGTATTACAAGTAATGAATGAATTAAAGAGAACAAAGAATTTGGAAGGAAAAGAATACACGGACAGAAGGTAAAGGCAATCCTACTACATCAGTCACTGGTGCAATTTCTGAAAGAAGTTCGCTAACTGATTTTGTGGGGGAAATTGTTGGAAGCGCAGAAGATGAACTAGCAGCATCAGTAGTTGCAGACCGCAGACTAGTGAGAATCTCATATACTAGGCTCTAGCATGAAAGCAGGAGCAAATTAGTTTCTGTTCTTCAAATAGCACTAACATCACAAAGCTGAATCATGTGGCCATTTTAATTAATAACCACATAATAATTATGGGTTTTATAAGAGTTATGTTGTAGGAAAAATGATTGTGTAATGTTATAGAGATTCGTTTTGCGTGCCTTAACTTTTTTAATATTTTTTTGTTTTAAAAAGTGTGGGTCCCACAAAATGTTGTGTGTGTAGGAAATTTGATGGTGTCATGTTAAAGGACAAACTACAATCCCAATAATTATTTATGGTAATATTTCCAAAAAAAGTGAAATGATAGTTGACAGCCAAAGAGAACGGTGAATGCTAATTGTGATCAGTGCACCTTAAACATGTTTAAGGGGTTTCAGGCAAGTTAAGGCTGGGTGATCCTATATCTCCTTTCTGTTGTTTTTCCATTTTGTCGATCTTTGAGAAAGGTGAAATTGAGGTCGGAAAAAAGTGTTATCTATTCTCTTAGGGATGGAAATGAGGACGTTAAGGATTGTTGTTTGCAGCTTTGCTGATGTATCATTTGGTTATTTCACAAGCTGCATTCTGGGCACAAGGTAAAAATTCAGGTATATTTCTTGTGGATCAAGCTTCTCATAAGCACAGCTAGAACTCCAATATAAATAAATACTAGCCATTTTAATTGGTTGGTATTTTGATCATATTCTGCAATTGATGAAGGGAAGAAAGCACAAAATGACCAGTTGCAGTGGTCCTAGGCGATAAATATACAAAGACAGAATTTAAGTGAGCAGGAAATCAAGACAAGGAATTATAAACGCTAATTACCTCATCCACACCAGAACCAAGTTTCAAATCCCCCAAATCATAATATTTCTCAAGCTTGTGAGCTCTAGAAACATGAGGAGGATGGAGGACATTGTAGAAGAAAATGGAAACTGAATCATAAAAGAACTGTGGTCGAGAGGAATTGTGGTCACCATCAAATTTTATGATATTTTTATCACCCTACAAATTCAGAAACGAAGTTATATGTTTTAGGTGCAAATTGCTTTCAAAAAATCTCAAGCTAAAGATGTGAAATAAATTAATACTGCATAGGATCCAGAGATGAGATCAGAGTGGCGGGGCTGAATGAATTTGTCATCACTTGCATGTCCAAATAAAACAGGAATGAATGTCTTCGGCGCAACCTGTAGGCTTTAAAAGCATTAATTTAAGATAGACATGGAAAGGAAATAACTCTACATAACAATTTGTTTAACCAGAAAATAAAAATTTTATGGTGAAAATAAACATGATCAATGAAGTTTAGATAATTACATTAATAATTTTGATAATTTAAAAAGTGGAACTGCTCGAAATATGCCATGCCACTCTTAAGAAGAAACCCAAAAACAAACAAACAAAGTGAAAATCAAATACATACCAGCAAACAGTTCAGATTCATAATATCGAACTTTGCCTTTTTCTCAATAACCCGCCGCATGTATTGTACAGCCATTTTAACCTAATTGTGGGGGGGGGGGGGGGGGGTGTTAAATGCAGAAAAATATCATATTTAATAAACACATTATATAATCCAAGTTAACAGCTATAGGTTTTAGATCCATGTTGCTCAAAGGATTTGGAAAAGAATGGATACTGGCATAAAAGTGATAAAACCATGCAAACTAACCAATACCCCCTAAGATAATAACACTTCAAAAATACTGCATATATATTTACAGTAAGCGCAATTTGAAGATAGGATTAGTTGAGGCACCTGAAATTATTTTGGGAAGGGGGGTAGGATAGATATGAATGACTTTGTCCACTTTGCAGATATAGAGCAATCATTCCAGTCCATTCAACCAAACAGGACAAGGACATAAAGTCTCCAAATATCAAAGGAAATACAGTAAAACCTTAAAAGTATCCGCAATGCATAAATACAGATTGAGTGAGAGAGGAGCTGAAAATCAATATATTTGGAATCACCCCACCCCCACATTTCAAAAAAATCATTATAAACTGCAAGCATAAGATGGAGTTTCAGAATTTCAGTGTGTCCTGGGTGTCGTCCCTTCACTCTGTAGCAGCCTCTTTGGGAGCATAATAAAGGTTTAAGTGAAAAGGATTCTAAAGTTTTGTGGCAATGTAGTTTATGTTATTCATTGTTGCATCTGGTTGAAGCAGAATGCTTGCATCTTTAAGGGGTGTCTATTTTTCCGTAAAATTGTCAAGGATAGGATTATGTTCATGAAATTCTTTACTATATTCAGGGCTGTTTCAAAGAAATTGCCTTTCTAATATGAAGCCTTTTTTATTTATTACTTATGCTTCCCGTGACAACCCCTAATATACAGACAAATAAAAAATCTTGAAATAATCTCATTAATTAATGCCAGAACCTGTCATAATTAATTAATCCCTAAATTTCATATTTAAATATTCCCAAATAAAAAAAGAACCCCAATAATGACAAGAAACCCTAGATCCAAAATAAAATCTTAATAAAAATCAAATCTATTCTTCATACCCGTGGATTTTTATTTCTTTTATTTTTCATTTTAACAAAAAAGGAAAACTTTAAATTAAAGACAACAATATTAAAGCCACAATGCTTGTTGCTCAGGTGGGTGAATCAAATATCACTCTGTAAACCAGAAGAGCCTCACCAAAGTCCAAAGTCTATCAAATCCTTCAGCCTGAAGATTCAAATGGAGGTATAGACCTAGTAGAATGGGTGGAAAATCCAAGTGCAGATACCCTAGGTCCTAGAAATTAGAACCACTTAACCTCTTCCAGCAACAACTCAGGACAAATGTTTACAAGTACAAATAAACAACATATTAAGAAACAGTTATAACAATGCAATAGTTTTTAAGTCTTTTGCAGTCTGAACAACTCATACTGATGATGCACCACCTGTGGCAGATATCATGCACTATATCACTATGTGTTAGAAGGAACCATAGAGTCCCTCTTTTATTTTGTCTTTTAATTGAGGATTAACTAAAAGAGAGTTGGTGTTCAGCGAGAGAGAGAGAGAGAGAGAGAGAGAGAGAGAGAGAGAGAGAGAGAGAGAGAGAGATAGCATACCGTGAACTTTGGAAGTCGAATTTTATAAACATCCACAAGCTCCATCATGAGATCATATAAGTTTGAAAAGGCACTATCCAATACCATTCCAGCAATAGAAGGGTCTTCAGCTCCATAAAGAAGGCTACATCGCACCAAAGCAAAGTGAATAGTAAATTCACCAGAGATTCATATATAAGGGTGGCTCATAATTACATGTGTGCAGAGTAAAGGTGGGAATGTGGAATACTAGCAATTTTGTCCCCTCCTCACACAGACACACACACACAGAAGCAACACTACCCATGACAAAAACTGAAGTCATGAAATTAAACTAGAACAATACATCAAAACTTTTTGCTGGGGGTTACATGCAGGGAATGACAAAGTGTCAAAGCAGCAGAAAATCTTGTAAAAATCAATATCAAACAAGTTAATTAGAATAGTGATACCTAGTAACTGCACCCATTGATCGTCCCCAGAGACCTATACGGGATATTTGTTTGTTGTGTCTCAAATGCGACACCACCATCTTGAGATCATCTTTCTACCACTCAAAGGAATGAAAAAATAAAGAGACTTTACAAATTTATTATACATAAAAAAGTAAAGGAAACATTACAGGAAAACTATACAAAGAAGCATGAAAATATTTAAGTACTCCCCCACCCACCCAAAACACAAAAGGAAAAGTATAAAAAAGGAAGCAATGTTGGTAGTTTCATAAAAAGATGTAATGTGCAGAAACTCAAGTTAATAGCCAGAAATTAATTAAATAGAAAAATATATGCATAAAGAGGCAACATACTTCATGCCAACCAAGGCTAACATAGTCTCCATCAGATAAGCCTGACCCCGAGAAGTCAAGCGCAAAAACAGTAATATTTGATGGAAGAAGAATTACAGCAGCTTCATTAGCATCTGCCCTACATCCACTGCATCATTGTTCATATGCACACATATCAAAAGGGAGAGGAATAGAATGGCTATGTCATTCTGAAAAAATAATGTTCAAAAGATTATATTTATGACCGTAATTCGTAACTCAGAACCATATAGAATCTTTCATAAGCAGCAATAGAAGTGCCCATAAAAATAACATATACCTGTTTCCATGGCAATATATAACACAAGGAAGAGAAGTATCTTCAGGGAAAGGAGAAGGGAGATAATGACTACACTTCAAGGTATAGCCTCTGGAATTCTTGAGCTGCACAATTAAAAAACAGATAATCTAGCAGTAAGCAAACAATTGGAATCATGATGCAACTTCTCTATATAGACAACATTAATTGTAAGCGATCTTCGAGCAAATAATGTTCATACTTGCCTCCAAATCCTGCCTTTGGTATGTTCTACCTGCAAGTGAGAATTCCTTTTCCCAAAGGTACTGATCTGGGTTATACTCCGCCCTGTATATGTGACAAAGTAGATACACTAAGTTGTAACTCAATTGGCTGGAAAAGGATTATCACAATTTGAGCAATGGATACAGAGGCACTTATATAGTTGTTTACATTAGTGGAATACAAAAAGGGGGGTGGGGGAGTCAGAAACAAGGAAGACTGTCTAGCATAGTTCTTTAAAGATGATTGAGACATGTTCAGTTTGAACACAATATAGTACAAAGAGAATTTCAGAGGTAAATAAGGAAAGAACCGGCATATTAAATAGGTAAGGAAAATTTTGGTGCATATCAAGTACTTTTCCCCTTAATTCTCAACCACTAATATGACATGGCCACGAAAATTTAATTAGATTTTCCTATGCATAAAAACAGGTAAGGAAATTAAAGACGAGAGAAACTTTAAAAGGAACAAACAAATACAAGAGCACACGTAATTACTAGGGTGGGGAACAAAATAGGTATCCTCTCGTGAAGAGAAAGAGCCGTAAAGAATGTGTCAAAGTTAACATTCTCTGTCCCAATAGCCATCCATCCCAATAGTACCTGCTTACTTGATTAGTGCTAACTGCCAAGCCAACTACCCTTAAAGCTAAAATGAATACCTGGGAGGTCGAATAACGAAATTGATGAATTGCTCAATCATCTTGCTTCTACATGTAGCTCAGAGCAACTCCGCCTCATGAATGAGCTTACAACTATAGCGGAGTCTCTGAGAAGCTCAAAGTCAATTCTCCACCATCTTCGGCACTGAAAGCTCCTTATAAACTGCAACCTCGTCTCAAATCTTACTCATGAATTCGAATGCCAACAGACACTTATGAAGGCATGTAACTCCAAGACAAGCTAAGCTATTAATGCCCAATTCCTGTGAGAAACAACACCAACTCACTGCTAAGAAGGAGACAGTTTGCATCAAACAAGAAAGAAAGGGAAAAAAAAAACAGTGAGAAACCCAGTACCAGTAGTAGTAAAAAAATTTACAAACTTACAAGGAAGCTGGTCCCAAGTAATTATATGAATGAGAGAGACAGAGAGAGAGAGAAGGAACCCCATAAACTAAAAGCACTTTCAGATCCAAATGCCCTCAAAAAGCATTCAAAAAAATGGATCTTTAAAAAACCGGAGAAAAAGCATAGTAAACAGAAAATTTCATCCAAAAAAAAAAACTTGTTTAGGCCCCTTCTACTTCTACCATGATTGCAACGAGCAAGCAACTTTATCCAACGTCAAAAAAAGGTTAAAACTCGGGTGATTGGGTAGACGTCAATTCAACCAGAAAAAAAAGAAGTGTTAAAAATGGAAAAGGTTCCAAAAGCGAAAATGTGGGGAAGCATAAGAGACACGAATTCCTAGTCAGATGAGATCCCACATCCAAACTGCCACATTGATGTCTTGCCTGTGGATGCATTTTCCTTTCTCTCTTACTTTCGCAACAAAAGAATGAAGAAGACGTAAAAAGCTGAAGAGAAGGAAAAAAAAAAAAAACTTTACCGGAATGAAAAAGTGGGTGTGACCGTGTGAGTTACCACTCAACAGCAAATGCTTGTCTGAAGAAGAAAAATAGAAAATGAAGAGAAAATGAAGTTGGAAAGGGATGCAGATGAATTAATTGAAGTGAACCTTGTTGTTGTTGTTGTTTCTTCTTCTTCTTCTAGTTCTGAGTAGCCGAATTCAATGGAAAAGACGGAAACGATGAAGATTAGAGAGAAGAGCAGGAACAGCTGTCTTTCTCTTCATCAAAATTTACTTTTTATTTTCTTTTTTAATTCGCTAAATATTATAACATTGTCCTTTTATTTTTTATTTTATTCTTACTTCTTACTTTTATTCTTAAAGTAATATTATATAGTTTCATATATATTATCTCCAATAATTCATCGAAAATTGTGATATTTTTTTTTAAGTGGCAAATCTCATCACACGTATGTCTATAACTTCAAAGATCTTCACTCATATAACATAAGATTAGATGAGCCCATATTTTTATTAAATAATATGTTTAAAATTTTAATGAAAGCAGATATAAAGATATGGAAAATATCCAGAATTGCCCTGAATCGAAGTAGTTCTAAAGCAATGAATTGATTGGAATATCTCTAGAAAAAAAAAATAGAAAATGTTGTTTGCACATAAACTTGAAACTTCACATGAGATCAACATTTAGGAAATATTTTTAGGTTTATCATCTATAATTTAACATGAACACAAAAAGTTTTCTACACACACAATATTTAGTGAGGCCCGCAGCAAAAAAAAAACAAAAAAACTTCGGCACGCAAAATGAATCTCTATAACATAACACAGTCATTTTTTCTACAACATAACTCTTATAAAACTCAATATTTTTTATGCTTAAGGACCATTCAAAATTTGGTGCTTCATCTCACCGGATCAAATTTTTCTCTTTTTTTATCCATATTGTTTTGGAATCAAAGTTCACAAATGCCCATGTGGTTTGCTTCAGAATCATTTATGCCCTGTGGTTTTTTTTCTATCACATATGTCTCTGTGCTTTGTAAAAAATAAAAAACCACAGGGGTATATGTGATAAAAAAACATACCATTTTACAAACCACGGGAGCATATGTAATACGAAAAAAATTACAGGGGCATAAGTGATTCTGAAGTAAACCAAAGGGACATTGGTGAACTTTTCCCTATTATTTTCTCTCTTTCCCATTTTTACTGTCTCATTTACACAAGAAATCACCACTTGGTGGTCCCGAGCATAAAAAATGATCTCCAACTTTTATTAGTTAGCATTAGGAGTATAAATAAGTTAGGCTGGACTTTACCTTAAATAATCTAGACCTGTATAAAAAATCTTAAGTTTGGTCTGATTTGTTAACTTATATATGCCCCAAATTACAAATCTGGTTTGACCTATATTTAAAAAATAAAAGTCTTGACCTAAACCTGTTAGTCTTTTTAAGTCTATTAAACATTCAACAATTAAAAAATAACTAAAATAATAATTTATTTTATTTTATTTAAAAAATGATATAGGTCAGCCTATAAGCCCAACATGTATAAAGAAGTCTATGGCCTGCTCTTTAAATAGATTTTTTAAAAAGTCTAAGTATGTTCTCTTTGACTACTTATAATAGGACAAATTTGACCTAATATAAACTAGGTCGTAGGTCCTTGTAGCCTGGACTAGTCCATTTACACCCCTAATTAGCATCTCTCTTGATTTTAGGAATTATGTTTATTCGGTATATTTACGTATATTCATTTGTTGAGTCAATTGTCTTAATAACTTAAAAGTCTTTAAAATATTATATTTCTCTTGTTTTTTAATTTTTAAATCACTTTATTAATTTTTTTAAAAAATTTATTCTTTTTAATATCATTTTAAATGAAACTATTGTGTTTCAGTGGTATTTTATTTTCTTTCTACTTTATAGTATTCTATCTTTGTCTCTCCTCCTGATTTTGTGAATAAGAAAAAAGGTAAAAAAAACTACCAAAAAAACAATAATTTCATTTGAAATAACATAAAATTATGGACTTTAAAATGACAAATATTTTTTACTTACTTTTTATATCATTGTATACTAAAATATTTTAAAATGACACGAGATTGATAACAAGTGTATTTTTTAAAAATTAAAGTAAGATTTTACACTATATTTAAGAGAAAAGTATTTGTACCATACCAACATTAATTTTAAATGACATAATTTTTTATTATTTTAGATTAAACATGAGTACGCGATGTGATGTATAGTTCATGATTTTTTACTCTTTTTTTCTTCCTAATTTTATAGAGGAAAAAATAATATAAAAAATAACGAAATATACACTAAAATAACATCATTTTATTTAAAAATTATACAAATTTATATCATTTAAAATGACAAATATTTTTTTTCACATTAAAACAAATTTGTGTTTTAAAATTTATTGCTGTTGAGAAGTAAGATATATGTTCCGCTGTCGCCAACTTAATTTATTATCTAAAAATAATTTTTTTAACAATATTATCTTTATAGGAAAAAAAATCATAATTTCATATCATTTTCGTCTTAAGAGCTCTCTTCAAATACTAACTTATCGGTGAAATTATTAACATTTTTATTTATCTATTCGAACTCCTTATTTGTTTACAATTGTGATTACTTAATTGTCCTTTATTAATTTCATTTGTATAGAATATAATTCAGAAATTGTCGTTATAATATAAGCGTGTATTTTGGTATGATGTATCTAATCAACCAGCATAAATGCTCTCTTTTTGTACCATATTTAATTTGTAACCTGTGAACCAAAATAACTAACAACTAATGACAGTTCGAATATGGAAATTTTCTTACAATAACAAAAGACATGAGTTTTTTTTCAGAATCTGGACGCAACGGGAAAGTCATAGACTATTATCGGACTCGTTAGTTGCAATCCATTACAATGAATTCATTTATCGTTCATAGTGATAGAGACGATAATACTTAGACGATCCCAATTTTAGAACTTGTACCAATTTACGACCTTGTTCACTTTTATCTGTCATCACACAAAAAGAAAAAAAGAAGAAGCATACAACTTACAAGCATAAAAGTAAATTACATACGACATGAATATGTACTAAATATGAATTTTTTTTCCTATATTTTTATACCCCCTTTCTTTATGGTATGACAATACTATTTACTACTTTAAGGATTTGATCCCTTTGATTAAAAAATATTTGCATACAAGTAAGAAAAAAGTGTATAAATGTGTAATGGTGACATTTCAAGTTACTTTTGAATGAACAATAATTAATAAGGCTTCCCTTTCACTCAACATATACTTAATGATTTTAATTATGAACAGCTTAGCATATGCTTTGTAGTTTTCATATAACACTTCCATAAGTGCTAATTCTAGTTCGTTGTCAATTATAAATTAGATATATGTACAAAAGAAAATTTTATCCTTTTTTTTTCCTTAGCATATTTGTTGGGACTTTCATTTCGGACCAGACTTACAAAAGCCCAGTTGCAAGATATCAAAGCCTAAAGTGACTTTGGGACCAGCCTTACAAAAGCCCAGCTGCAAGAAAATTTTATCCTTTTTTATCCTTAACATTATTCACCTGGGGGGTCATTTGGTATAGAACATAAAAAACTTTTACCTGGAAAAAAGGATTTTTGTGAATATGGTGAGAATTTTTTTTTCCCGAGAGAGTTACAAAAAGGTGTTTGGTAGGCAAAAAAAATTTCGGTAAACTTTGATTAATTTTACTTATGCTATGTTTAGTTGATTCTAAAATATTGACGGGAATCTGAATCGAAATGACAAAATTATTCATTTTTACACATCTTCTTATATATTGTATAAGGGTATTTTTGTCTCAAAATATGAAAATGAGTTTTCCAATTGGTGGAAAAAAAATAATTCCATGGAATTATTTTTCCCCATGTGTAGTTAAAAACGGGAATGGTGGGAAAAAAATTATCCCGATATAATTTTACTATTACTCATACCAAATATGGTAAAAAAAAAATTCTCACCTCACTTTTCCAAGATTATTCCCAAAATACTCACACCAAACACCCCTTAGGCTTTGGTAAGTATTAAGTATCTTAAGCATTAATATACTATTATTTTAAAGTAGTGTTAAACATTAGTTATGAGAGAATGGTAAGTATTAATAAATTATCATTATTATAAAAAATGTTAAGCATTAATTATAGTGGATGGGAAGGGATTAAATTATATATATATATATATATATTATCAATTAAAGAGTATATGAAGTTGTTTAAAACATAAAACATTGAGACTAAATATCATATTTTGATAGGATTAACATTTCTCTTGCAATTGGAAATAACTTTATCTCCTGCAACCACAAAACGATATCGTTTTAAAATTTAGAAAAAAAATATAAAGTATTTTGATAAGATTCATGATACAAGAGTTGTAATATTCAAATCTATATAAAAAAATTAAAAAAAATAAACAGTGCGGCGCTAAAAGCGTTGTCATTGTGTCTAGGGTGGCATAAAAGCGCTATATATATAGAGAGAGAAATTCGTAATATTAGAAGAAAGGGCGCTTAAAGC